GCCCCTACTCTACTCCACCCCAACCCCTCCATCCCACACACACACACACACACACACACTCTTGCATGCATGTACGCAAGCGCACGCACACACACACACACACACACACACACACACACACACACACACACACACACACACACACACACACACACACACACAGGTCAGTGAGCCTTTGTGGTTGGGTTATGTAGTGGATATAGGGTCAGTGACCAATCATAGCTCAGCATATGGGAGCAGGCGTGCCAGTTTCCCTGAGAGTCTTTTGCTATAGACTGCTATATGGCATTCATGCCAGGTCATAAGAGAAGGGGTCTGAGTGGATGGATACAGGTGGTGATGTCACTCTTCTATATTTTTCAGACAAGTCTATTTAGTAACTCATTGGATATGATAGTGGTCCGCTGTGTTTCAATTGGTTTTGGTTGGACATTTTCATATTTGTTAGATTTCCACTATTTGCCAGAATCTCTCGTTAATGAACATCAGCAGTCATTACCGAGACATTAAGTCACATTAACCTTAAAAGCATAGAAATCCTGTATAAATATTACATTTTTAAATCAAGAAATGGTATCAACTACACAATATTATGACATTGGAAGGGGGTGTCCATAGTGATACATAAAATGTATGTTCTATTTAATTATACGGGGGAAGGGTTGCACAATTACAGTAACTTTTCCAAAATCCCCAGATCTTCCAGAAATCCTGGTTGAAGGATTACCGGATTTCCTGCTTATTCATTCCTGTTTCTGGGAATCTTCCAACCCGGGATTTCTGGAAAACCAAGGAATTGTGGGAAAATTACTGGAATTTTGCAACCCTATATGGGAGTCTCTGTGTTGGTCTCATAATACAGATGCTAATGCTAACGCTGCCCTGAGCCACATAGAAACCCATGACTCATACAATACTCTCTATGGCAGATGCTGTGCTCTTCTCCATCACTTTGGGCTATGGAGACTGGGGTGTGGGGGGGGGGCACTGTTGTATAGTGTTGTAGAGAGTGGGTTTGGCGCTGGTGAAGCTGCATACCAAGCACGCTCCTGTTGTTTTGGAGGAGAGTATCGCCCTCTGGTGGGGTAGGAGAATGGCATGGAGGTATGGATTCTGTCATACCCAACAAGGACATTCTGTACATTGAAACAATTAATTAACAGATTTTATTGACTGCTCAATAAACAGTCATATACTTTAGATGAATTAGTATATATATATATATATATACACACACACACGTTGCCTTCGGAAAGTATTCAGACCCCTTGACTTTTTCCTCATTTTGTTACATTACAGCCTTAATCTAAAATGGATTAAATAAATAAAAATCCTCAGCAATCTACACACAATACTACATAATGACTAAGTGAAAACAGGTTTTAATACACTTTTGCATATGTATTAAAATTACAAAACATAATTATCTTTTTTACATAAGTATTCAGAGCCTTTGCTATGAGACTCGAAATTGAGCTCAGGTGCGTCCTGTTTCCATTGGTCATCCTTGAGATGTTTGTCAACTTGATTGGAGTCCACCTGTGGTACATTCAATTGATTGGACATGATTTGGAAAGACACACACCTGTCTTTATAAGGTCCCACAGTTGACAGTGCATGTCAGAGCAAAAACCAAGCCATGAGGTCAAAGGAATTGTCCGTAGAGCTCCGAGACAGGATTGTGTTGAGGCACAGATCTGGGGAAGGGTACCAAAAAATGTCTGCATTATTGAAGGTCCCCAAGAACACAGTGGCCTCCATCATTCTTAAATGGAAGAAGTTTAGAACCACCAAGACTCTTCCTAGAGCTGGCCGCCTGACCAAACTGAGCAATCGGGGGAGAAGGGCCTTGGTCAGGGAGGTGACCAAGAACCCGATGGTCACTCTGAAAGGGCTCCAGAGTGCCTCTGTGGAGATGGGAGAACCTTTCAGAAGGACAACCATCTCTGCAGCACTCCACCAATCAGGCCTTTATGGTAGAGGGGCCAGACGGAAGCCATTCCTCAGTAAAAGGCACATGACAGGCCGCTTGGAGTTTGCCAAAAGGCACCTAAAGACTCTCAGACCATGAGAAACAAGATTCTCTGGTCTGATGAAACCAAGATTAAAAACTCTTTGGCCTGAATGCCAAGCGTCACGTCTGGAGGAAACCTGGCACCATCCCTACGGTGAAGCATGGTGGTGACAGCATCATGCTGTGGGGATGTTTTTCAGCAGCAGGAACTGGGAGACTAGTCAGGCTCGAGGGAAAGATGAACGGAGCAAAGTACAGAAAGATCCTTGATGAAAATCTGCTCCAGAGCGCTCAGGACCTCAGACTGGGGCGAAGGTTCACCTTCCAACAGGACAACGACTCTAAGCACACAGCCAAGACAACGCAGGAGTGACTTTGGGACAAGTCTCTGAATGTCCCAAATAGCTGTGCAGCAAATAGCTGAAAATAGCTGTGCAGCAACGCTCCCCATCCAACCTGACAGAGTTTGAAAGGATCTGCAGAGAAGAATGGGAGAAACTCCCCAAATACAGTTGTGCCAAGCTTGTAGCGTCATACCCAAGAAGACTTGAGGCTGTAATCACTGCCAAAGGTGCTTCAACAAAGTACTGAGTAAAGGGTCTGAATACTTTGTGATATTTCAGTTTTGTATTTTTTATATATTTTCTAAATTTTCTAAACCAGTTTTTGCTTTGTCATTATGGGGTATTGTGTGTAGATTGATGAGGGAAAAAATACAATTTCATCCATTTTAGAATAAGGCTGTAATGTAACAAAATGGCAAGGGGTCTGAATACTTTCCGTATGCACTGTCACCCGTTGCTCCTAGGCCTACTGTACAAGCATGCTACAATGAAACACAAATAAAATAGTCTTGCTATAACTTTAGCTGTATAATGGGGTGAAAAACATGATCATAAATGTAATATCTTTACAATGTGATGCTATTTACATAGTAATAAATAATACACAATGAATACCACCAACAGAACACAACCTTTATTCAAGTATTAAAATGTAAACCTCATTATTTTTGAATATCAACAGACTCATAAAATACGAATCAACACAATTAGAAAAGCAAAACTTGAACTTTCGTTTTAACAATCAATTAGCAATGTGAAATTCTTTTCAGTATTTATTTATTCCCCTGTACCCCAACACCCAGTTCACTTAGTTTACTGCATAGAAATATTTGCACGGTAGCTTGATTTTAAACTACTATTCATGTCTCCCAAAGATATTTCAGTTGGTCCCTAAACGAAAAATACAAAACAGAGGTGATGGGAAAAAACGTCTACGTCCCAAATGGCACTCTATTTCCTAAATAGTGTACTTATGACCACCCTATTCTCTATATAGTGCACTAGTTTTGACCAGAGCCCTATAGCGCACTCTATAGGGAATAGGGTGCCATTTGGGATACAGTCAAGGAAAGGGATTTTTAATGAATGTATGGGCATAGTATATTCTTTCACATCTGACTGCAAACAAATTCATAGGAGACGTTCACACAGACTACAGTCACCAGACCAGGGCTCTCAAACACCGTTCCTGGAGAGCTACCGTTCTGTAGGTTCACGCCAACCCTAATCTAGCACACAGGATTCTAATAATTAGCCAGTTGATAAGCTGAATCAGGTTAGTTACAACCTACAGGAGGGTAGCTCTCCAGGAACAGGGTTAGAGAGCCCTGCGCTAGACTACCTATATGCATATTCTTCTCATCAAAAGATCACTTTGCAAAATGACTCTTTCACACACACAGCTTGATCATTTATGAGTGAGGCTACGTTGTTGGACTACATTGACTGTTTATAACTGAAAAACTCATGCAGATACACATCAGTATACATATTATATATATATATATAATAATACATATATATATAGACCCTCCAAATAACAATTTGACAGTCTACTAAAGACATACTTATCATGAATTAATATCAACATGATCCACTGCCTTCAAACTTGAATAGACAATTAGATAAAAGTATCAAAACAAGGGAACTAAATACATCACCAACAATACCGCTATAAGGGACTTCAGGATTGTCCTCAACATTTTCATATTACGGGTACCTATTTTGTTCATCCTAGATTATTCCTTTAGAAGACAAATGTGAATTACAGCAGATAGATACCTCATTATTTATGAGACAATCATCAAACAACGTCTCCTGGTAAGAGAGGGCTTACGTCCAAAATGGCACCCTATTCCCTACACTACATTGGACCAGAGTCCTATGGCTCCTATATAGTGCACTATGGGCACTTTTGCACTATTTAGGGAATAGGGTGCCATTTTAGACACAGCCAGGGGCAGAGGTAATAATTATACAGCCCTATTGTGCATTTGATTTGGTTTAAGTGGTTCGACATCACGCCCTTCTCCTTTGACATCATCAAGTAAATCTGGTCATTAGAAAATGAGGAGTGCTGACTGGCTGACTGACTGACTGGACATCAAACTGAACTGAACTCAGGTCAAAACCTGCTCTCCTATTCATTAAGCTTCTCAGAGTCTGAGTGCTGATCTAGGATCAGGGTCTCTACTAATTCATTATGATTTAAAAAGGCCACACTGATCCTAAATCAGCACTCCTGCTCTGAAACACTTTGTGAATACAGGCCCTGGTCCTGGGAGGGATAACGTCTTAGAGTAGAGAAACAACAGAGGAGAGAGAGCGCAAGGGACGGTCAGGAATGACAATGAACCTCATACTTAGTAGTCAGTCTATCTGGACATTCCTGCATCATCAGCTAGAACCGAACGGTGCAGCAGAGACATCAAATAGAAAACATTCTTCCCATTTAAGTAAAAAGGAGAAGAAATCAAAGGAGAGGAAGATCAAAAGGGAAATGAAGGGCTCTAAGCAAATTGACATCAACTTATAGCTACCAGGCTATTAGCTTCACGACTGCTAACGACTAACGCCTGCCTGGCTTTGCTCAGAGCACTCTTCCATCGACCAGTTCCCTGAAGTGGAAGCAGAGAACCATAGAATTAGAATGATCATTCTAATTCTAAAGGATCATTCTTATTCTATGCAGAGAACAACTCGCCCTCCAATACTGACTGAACAACTGACAGACTCACTCCCTCCTTGCCAAAGTGCCTGAGTGCTTTAGATTGCAACGCATTTTAGAGAAATTAAATTATTTCTTTAGAAGCTTTCTATTGAAGCAGACAGTACTATTCTGCCTGCCACCAACTATCTCGGGTACTGTCTTAATACAGTGTAAGTAACAGGTTATCATTAACATAATTATATAAAGAAAAATATAATTATTCAATGAACGTACTGGACAGACCACAAATCATGTGTGCTTTTAACAGGTAAATAAAGAACATGTGTCCCAGCATGGGAATAAGCATTAATATAGGTTTCAAAATAATATTTAAGTAGTATGTACCTCCACATTATGAATCATTATATGATAAATACCCGGATGAGTGCAGCCAAAAACAGCTCACATAGAGAATGCACTGCACTCATTTGAATGTTTTCTTCCACACAAAGTGCTGCTGGGTTGAGCTGAACTCAGAAGATACATAACTAACATAGGAACATAAGGGTGGATCCTAAATTCCACTTTAGACACATTTTCATTTCCACTTCAGTCGAATGGTCTCCCATTGACATCAATGCATGATTAAGTGAAAATTCGACTGAAGTGGAAGTTAGGATTCCCCCCATAAAGTGGGCCTCCACTGGGCCGTACTCCTGTGGCTGCTGTGGGGCCCAGTCACATCTCGTATTCATCCGCTGCCCTGCTGGGTCTAGGTCAAGGAGCCTGCAGCCTAGCATCCATCAGCAGCGGGACAGGACAGGACAGCCAGAGGTTCCTAGAAGAATCATTCTAGAATCTGTAGGTTCAGTCTGCAGTGATGCCTTTCTCTCTGAGTTCCTCGGTCACTCTCACCAGGTAAGTGGGGTCTGGGTAGCCAAAGCTGTCAGGAGAAATTAACCATCAGCAGGTCATTGAGAGTTGCTGTAGTCGCTGGAAAAGCGATAGTGCCTTCTAGGAGCAAATGCACGACAGTAATCACAATTTAACCTCACACCACATGCTCAAAACATGGATAGCTTTCTATTGATATAAATTTGAAAAAATATTTTTCTGTTACATCTCATTAGAACAAACTAAAGCCATATGATTCTATTTGACTTCTGTGTGTGTTGCAAGCAGTCATCGATAGCTTTTTTCACAAAAATATAAACACCACTTGTCACATCTCACAAACATACTTAAATTTCCATTAGCCTTCAGTAAAGACATCTGTTTCCATACCAGTATGTTCCGCCCCATATGGAGGTCTTGTGGTGGATGTCGTTCCAGGTAATGACGTTATGCATTCCTGTGGTCATGGAGGTCCCAATGGTGAAGATGAGGCGCTGTTCGAAGGCCCGGCGGAGCAGGCCCAGGACCCGGTTCCCCTCTGGACTGTCTGGGAGGTAAGCCACGCGGTACGTCCCAGGGTACCTCACGCCCGGGTTAGGGTGCTCTGGCTGCAGGACCCAGGCAGAATTCAGAGGAATGTTAGAAAAGAACAGGAACAATTATATCCACAAAAATGAAGTAAAGTGGTATAGACATTCAATAAGATTACTTCAAGCATGGACTGTTTCATTGAAAGATCCAAGTATAAAAATGGAGAGCTGGGATTTGAAAACATTGCTGTATTCGACGCAAATAAAAATGTGTTACATAAAACACTAAAGAGTATACTAAAGAGAGATGGTTAGCAATGTAAATGCTGTGTCAGAGATAGCAAAACCCTGGACGTGGACGTCACCAAAACCCTGGAAGTGGACGTCACCAAAACCCTGGAAGTGGACGTCACCAAAACCCTGGAAGTGGACGTCACCAAAACCCTGGAAGTGGACGTCACCAAAACCCTGGAAGTGGACGTCACCAAAACCCTGGAAGTGGACTGGAGCAAAACTTCTTACTAGTTCCCATTTATATATATACCCTTCCTTGTGTCTTTAGTCATATACACACACTCACCGCCTGTAGACCAGGTGGGAAGCTGTAGATGATGCAGATACACCCGTAGCCCTCGTGTCCCGGCAACTCCAGATCTGGCTCTCTATCCACCATCATACTCCCGGTAGCTGGCTGGTTCCCTATGAGCTGGCCGTACACCTGACGACACACAGGACACGCTCTCTTCACCTTGAAGGCCTGGTCCAGACACAACCGGCAGAATGCGTGGCCACACCTGGGGGGGGAGGGAGTGAAAGAGAGAGACACAGAAAACACTTTCACATATCATTTTGAAAACATTACATATCATCAATAGCAATGAAGGCTGACACATTTCATCGTTTGTAAAAACCTTGAGAATTACTGAACACAAAAAGTTAAGTAGCTATACCTCTCCAGCGTCGTCCTCTCCACCATGTCGCCCATGCAGATGGAGCATGAGGTGTAGTCATCTGCTTCACTGTGGGAGTGGTTATGAGAGGAGGCCATCATACTGCAGCTGACCTCCATGTTGTCCTGCTTCCTTTGTCCTGATGCATTGTGGGACATGGAGTTCATGGAGTTGGAGAGGACCATACAGGCCTCATCCTCCGCTGGCTTCTTATACCTCTGTTGCTGCCTCTGAGAGCGTCTAGGCTGGGGAGGCTGAGGTGGTAGCAGGCTGCCCTCTCCATCCCCCTCCAGGACCCCCACCCCAACACAGGGCAGCAGGGACCTCTTCCGCTTAGGACCCGTCTCCTGTTTGCTCATCTCTTTCCGGGCGCAGCGGCATAAGTCTATGAAGGCCTTGCGGGTCTCGTTGGAGATTGGTCCTTCGTCCATCATCCTGGGTCCTCCCCCAGAACGGGATCCCTCTACGGGCCGTAGCCGCACCGCGCAGCAGCCTCCCCGCTCCCCTCGGCGGATGATGCCGGCACTCAAGCCCTGCTTGTCCTGAAAGTCTATGAGCCAGGGCTGGCCGGCGGCGGCCAGTAGTCCCACACCGCCTGGGACACCAGCACCTCGTCACCACCCTGCCCCCCACTCATCTCATCCGATGAAACTGAATAGGGAAACACAAGAGAAACCATTAGACACGTATTCAAGCCCCACATCAAAGGAAAATGTGTCATGCTAAACTTATTGCACCGGGAGGAAAATGTACAGGAAACACATACGACAGAGAGACTAACATGTCACATAATGCAGCGATTGCAATTGTTAACATTTGCATGATAAACAATGTTACAGAATCCCCCTGCCGAGGACGCTGTGGGACTAAGTTCCAGTGTGCAGTGTTGCCATGTTCGCTGCAAATTGGGCTACTTTGAAAACGATGTCGCGGGTGAAAATGTACAGTGAGGGAAAAAAGTATTTGATCCCCTGCTGATTTTGTACGTTTGCCCACTGACAAAGAAATGATCAGTCTATAATTTTAATGCTAGGTTTATTTGAACAGTGAGAGACAGAATAACAAAAAATTCCTGAAAAACACATGTCAAAAATGTTATAAATTGATTTGCATTTTAATGAGGGAAATAAGTATTTGACCCCCTCTCAATCAGAAAGATTTCTGGCTCCCAGGTGTCTTTTATACAGGTAACGAGCTGAGATTAGGAGCACACTCTTAAAGGGAGTGCTCCTAATCTCAGCTTGTTACCTGTATAAAAAGACACCTGTCCACAGAAGCAATCAATCAATCAGATTCCAAACTCTCCACCATGGCCAAGACCAAAGAGCTCTCCAAGGATTGTCAGGGACAAGATTGTAGACCTACACAAGGCTGGAATGGGCTACAAGACCATCGACAAGTAGCTTGGTGAGAAGGTGACAACAGTTGGTGCGATTATTCGCAAATGGAAGAAACACAAAAGACCTGTCAATCTCCCTCGGCCTGGGGCTCCATGCAAGATCTCACCTCGGGAGTTGCAATGATCAGATTCAAGCAGCTGGGACCATAATCACCAAGAAAACAATTGGTAACACCACGCGTGAAGACTGAATCTGCAGCACCCGCAAGGTCCCCCTCTCAAGAAAGCACATTAATATAGGTTTCAAAATAATATTTAAGTAGTATGTACCTCCACATTATGAATCATTATATGATAAATACCCGGATGAGTGCAGCCAAAAACAGCTCACATAGAGAATGCACTGCACTCATTTGAATGTTTTCTTCCACACAAAGTGCTGCTGGGTTGAGCTGAACTCAGAAGATACATAACTAACATAGGAACATAAGGGTGGATCCTAAATTCCACTTTAGACACATTTTCATTTCCACTTCAGTCGAATGGTCTCCCATTGACATCAATGCATGATTAAGTGAAAATTCGACTGAAGTGGAAGTTAGGATTCCCCCCATAAAGTGGGCCTCCACTGGGCCGTACTCCTGTGGCTTGCTGTGGGGCCCAGTCACATCTCGTATTCATCCGCTGCCCTGCTGGGTCTAGGTCAAGGAGCCTGCAGCCTAGCATCCATCAGCAGCGGGACAGGACAGGACAGCCAGAGGTTCCTGGAAGAATCATTCTAGAATCTGTAGGTTCAGTCTGCAGTGATGCCTTTCTCTCTGAGTTCCTCGGTCACTCTCACCAGGTAAGTGGGGTCTGGGTAGCCAAAGCTGTCAGGAGAAATTAACCATCAGCAGGTCATTGAGAGTTGCTGTAGTCGCTGGAAAAGCGATAGTGCCTTCTAGGAGCAAATGCACGACAGTAATCACAATTTAACCCCACATGCTCAAAACATGGATAGCTTTCTATTGATATAAATTTGAAAAAATATTTTTCTGTTACATCTCATTAGAACAAACTAAAGCCATATGATTCTATTTGACTTCTGTGTGTGTTGCAAGCAGTCATCGATAGCTTTTTTCACAAAAATATAAACACCACTTGTCACATCTCACAAACATACTTAAATTTCCATTAGCCTTCAGTAAAGACATCTGTTTCCATACCAGTATGTTCCGCCCCATATGGAGGTCTTGTGGTGGATGTCGTTCCAGGTAATGACGTTATGCATTCCTGTGGTCATGGAGGTCCCAATGGTGAAGATGAGGCGCTGTTCGAAGGCCCGGCGGAGCAGGCCCAGGACCCGGTTCCCCTCTGGACTGTCTGGGAGGTAAGCCACGCGGTACGTCCCAGGGTACCTCACGCCCGGGTTAGGGTGCTCTGGCTGCAGGACCCAGGCAGAATTCAGAGGAATGTTAGAAAAGAACAGGAACAATTATATCCACAAAAATGAAGTAAAGTGGTATAGACATTCAATAAGATTACTTCAAGCATGGACTGTTTCATTGAAAGATCCAAGTATAAAAATGGAGAGCTGGGATTTGAAAACATTGCTGTATTCGACGCAAATAAAAATGTGTTACATAAAACACTAAAGAGTATACTAAAGAGAGATGGTTAGCAATGTAAATGCTGTGTCAGAGATAGCAAAACCCTGGACGTGGACGTCACCAAAACCCTGGAAGTGGACGTCACCAAAACCCTGGAAGTGGACGTCACCAAAACCCTGGAAGTGGACGTCACCAAAACCCTGGAAGTGGACGTCACCAAAACCCTGGAAGTGGACGTCACCAAAACCCTGGAAGTGGACTGGAGCAAAACTTCTTACTAGTTCCCATTTATATATATACCCTTCCTTGTGTCTTTAGTCATATACACACACTCACCGCCTGTAGACCAGGTGGGAAGCTGTAGATGATGCAGATACACCCGTAGCCCTCGTGTCCCGGCAACTCCAGATCTGGCTCTCTATCCACCATCATACTCCCGGTAGCTGGCTGGTTCCCTATGAGCTGGCCGTACACCTGACGACACACAGGACACGCTCTCTTCACCTTGAAGGCCTGGTCCAGACACAACCGGCAGAATGCGTGGCCACACCTGGGGGGGGAGGGAGTGAAAGAGAGAGACACAGAAAACACTTTCACATATCATTTTGAAAACATTACATATCATCAATAGCAATGAAGGCTGACACATTTCATCGTTTGTAAAAACCTTGAGAATTACTGAACACAAAAAGTTAAATAAGTAGCTATACCTCTCCAGCGTCGTCCTCTCCACCATGTCGCCCATGCAGATGGAGCATGAGGTGTAGTCATCTGCTTCACTGTGGGAGTGGTTATGAGAGGAGGCCATCATACTGCAGCTGACCTCCATGTTGTCCTGCTTCCTTTGTCCTGATGCATTGTGGGACATGGAGTTCATGGAGTTGGAGAGGACCATACAGGCCTCATCCTCCACTGGCTTCTTATACCTCTGTTGCTGCCTCTGAGAGCGTCTAGGCTGGGGAGGCTGAGGTGGTAGCAGGCTGCCCTCTCCATCCCCCTCCAGGACCCCCACCCCAACACAGGGCAGCAGGGACCTCTTCCGCTTAGGACCCGTCTCCTGTTTGCTCATCTCTTTCCGGGCGCAGCGGCATAAGTCTATGAAGGCCTTGCGGGTCTCGTTGGAGATTGGTCCTTCGTCCATCATCCTGGGTCCTCCCCCAGAACGGGATCCCTCTACGGGCCGTAGCCGCACCGCGCAGCAGCCTCCCCGCTCCCCTCGGCGGATGATGCCGGCACTCAAGCCCTGCTTGTCCTGAAAGTCTATGAGCCAGGGCTGGCCGGCGGCGGCCAGGTAGTCCCACACCGCCTGGGACACCAGCACCTCGTCACCACCCTGCCCCCCACTCATCTCATCCGATGAAACTGAATAGGGAAACACAAGAGAAACCATTAGACACGTATTCAAGCCCCACATCAAAGGAAAATGTGTCATGCTAAACTTATTGCACCGGGAGGAAAATGTACAGGAAACACATACGACAGAGAGACTAACATGTCACATAATGCAGCGATTGCAATTGTTAACATTTGCATGATAAACAATGTTACAGAATCCCCCTGCCGAGGACGCTGTGGGACTAAGTTCCAGCGTGCAGTGTTGCCATGTTCGCTGCAAATTGGGCTACTTTGAAAACGATGTCGCGGGTGAAAATGTACAGTGAGGGAAAAAAGTATTTGATCCCCTGCTGATTTTGTACGTTTGCCCACTGACAAAGAAATGATCAGTCTATAATTTTAATGCTAGGTTTATTTGAACAGTGAGAGACAGAATAACAAAAAAATCCTGAAAAACACATGTCAAAAATGTTATAAATTGATTTGCATTTTAATGAGGGAAATAAGTATTTGACCCCCTCTCAATCAGAAAGATTTCTGGCTCCCAGGTGTCTTTTATACAGGTAACGAGCTGAGATTAGGAGCACACTCTTAAAGGGAGTGCTCCTAATCTCAGCTTGTTACCTGTATAAAGACACCTGTCCACAGAAGCAATCAATCAATCAGATTCCAAACTCTCCACCATGGCCAAGACCAAAGAGCTCTCCAAGGATGTCAGGGACAAGATTGTAGACCTACACAAGGCTGGAATGGGCTACAAGACCATCGACAAGTAGCTTGGTGAGAAGGTGACAACAGTTGGTGCGATTATTCGCAAATGGAAGAAACACAAAAGACCTGTCAATCTCCCTCGGCCTGGGGCTCCATGCAAGATCTCACCTCGTGGAGTTGCAATGATCATGATCTCAAGGCAGCTGGGACCATAATCACCAAGAAAACAATTGGTAACACACTACGCCGTGAAGGACTGAAATCCTGCAGCACCCGCAAGGTCCCCCTGCTCAAGAAAGCACATATACAGGCCCATCTGAAGTTTGCCAATGAACATCTGAATGATTCAGAGGAGAACTGGGTGAAAGTGTTGTGGTCAGATGAGACCAAAATCGAGCTCTTTGGCATCAACTCAACTCGCCGTGTTTGGAGGAGGAGGAATGCTGCCTATGTGGTCCTCTGTAGCTCAATTGGTAGAGCATGGCGCTTGTAACGCCAGGGTAGTGGGTTCGATCCCCAGGACCACCCATACGTAAAAATGTATGCGCACATGACTGTAAGTCGCTTTGGATAAAAACGTCTGCTAAATGGCATATAATAATTATAATTTAACACCATCCCCACCGTCAAACATGGAGGTGGAAACATTATGCTTTGGGGGTGTTTTTCTGCTAAGGGGACAGGACAACTTCACCGCATCAAAGGGACGATGGACGGGGCCATGTACCGTCAAATCTTGGGTGAGAACCTCCTTCCCTCAGCCAGGGCATTGAAAATGGGTCGTGGATGGGTATTCCAGCATGACCATGACCCAAAACACACGGCCAAGGCAACAAAGGATTGGCTCAAGAAGAAGCACATTAAGGTCCTGGAGTGGCCTAGCCAGTCTCCAGACCTTAATCCCATAGAAAATCTGTGGAGGGAGCTGAAGGTTCGAGTTGCCAAACGTCAGCCTCGAAACCTTAATGACTTGGAGAAGATCTGCAAAGAGGAGTGGAACAAAATCCCTCCTGAGATGTGTGCAAACCTGGTGGCCAACTACAAGAAACGTCTGACCTCTGTGATTGCCAACAAGGGTTTTGCCACCAAGTACTAAGTCATGTTTTGCAGAGGGGTCAAATACTTATTTCCCTCATTAAAATGCAAATCAATTTATAACATTTCTGACATGCGTTTTTTCTGGATTTTGTTGTTGTTATTCTGTCTCTCACTGTTCAAATAAACCTACCATTAAAATTATAGACTGATCATTTCTTTGTCTTTGGGCAAATGTACAAAATCAGCAGGGGATCAAATACTTTTTTCCCCTCACTGTATTGGTCGCGGGTTTTTGGGCTACTTCTAAATTGCACCGCCAAGGCATGCATACATACATACATACATACATACATACATGTTGAAGTCGGAAGTTTACATACACCTTAGCCAAATACATTTAAACTCAGTTTTTCACTATTCCTGACATTTAATACTATAAGAATTCCCTGTCTTAGGTCAGTTAGGATCACCACTATTTCAAGAATGTGAAACGTCAGAATAATAGTAGAGAGAATGATTTATTTCAGCTTTTATTTCTTTCATCAGATTCCCAGTGGGTCAGAAGTTTACATACACTCAATTAGTATTTGGCAGCATTGCCTTTACAATTGTTTAACTTGGGTCAAACGTTTCGGGTAGCCTTCCACAAGCTTCCCACAATAAGTTGGGTGAATTTTGGCCCATTCCTCCTGACAGAGCTGGTGTAACTGAGTCAGGTTTGTAGGCCTCCTTGCTCGCACACGCCTTTTCAATTCTGCCCACACATTTTCTATAGGATTGAGGTCAGAGATTTGTGATGGCCACTTCAATACCTCAACTGTCGTCCTCAAGCCATTTTGCCACAACTTTGGAAGTATGCTTGGGGTCATTGTCCATTTGGAAGATCCATTTGCGACCAAGCTTTAACTTCCTGACTGATGTCTTGAGATGTTGCTTCAATATATCCACATAATTTTCCTTCCTCATGATGCCATCTATTTTGTGAAGTGCACCAGTCCCTCCTGCAGCAAAGCACCCCCACAGCATGATGCTGCCACCCCCGTGCTTCACGGTTGGGATGGTGTTCTTCGGCTTGCAAGCTACCCCCTTTTTCCTCCAAACATAACGATGGTCATTATGGCCAAACAGTTCTATTTTTGTTTCATCAGACCAGAGGACATTTCTCCAAGAAGTACTATCTTTGTCCCCATGTGCAGTTGCAAACAGTAGTCTGGCTTTTTTATGGCGGTTTTGTAGCAGTGACTTCTTCCTTGCTGAGCAGCATTTCAGGTTATGTTGATATAGGACTCGTTTAACTGTGGATATAGATACTTTTGTACCTGTTTCCTCCAGCATTTTCACAGGGTCCTTTGCTGTTGTTCTGGGATTGATTTGCACTTTTCGCACCAAAGTACATTCATCTCTAGGAGACAGAACAAATCTCCTTCCTGAGCGGTATGATGGCTGCGCGGTCCCATGGTGATTATACTTGCGTACTATTGTTTGTACAGATGAACGTGGTATCTTCAGGCGTTTGGAAATTGCTCCCAAGGATGAACCAGACTTGTGGAGGTCTACAATTTGTTTTCTGATGTCTTGGCTGATTTGTTTTGATTTTTCCATGATGTCAAGCAAAGAGGCACAGAGTTTGAAGGTAGGCCTTGAAATACATCCACAGGTACACCTCCAATTGACTCAAATGATGTCAATTAGCCTATCAGAAGCTTCTAAAGCATGACATCATTTTCTGGAATTTTCCAAGCTGTTTAAAGGCACAGTCAACTTAGTGTATGTAAACTTCTGTCCCACTGGAGTTGTGATACAGTGAATTATAAGTGAAATCATCTGTCTGTAAACAATTGTTGGAAAAATTACTTGTGTCATGCAAAGTAGATGTCCTAACCGACTTGCCAAAACTATAGTTTGTTAACAAGAAATTTGTGGAGTGGTTGAAAAACGAGTTTTAATGACTCCAACCTAAGTGTATGTAAACTTCCGACTTCAACTGTACATACATACATACATACATACATACATACCTACCCAGTCAAAAGTTTGGACACACCTACTCATTCAGGGGTTTTTCTTTATTTTTACATTGTAAAATAATAGTAAAGACATCAAAACTATGAAATAACACATATGGAATCATGTAGTAACCAAAAAAGTGTTAACCAAATAAAAATATATTTTATATTTCAGATTCTTCAAAGTAGCCACCCTTTGCCTTGATGACAGCTTTGCACAGTCTTGGCATTCTCTCAACCAGCTTCATGAGGTAGTCACCTGGAATGCTTTTCCAACAGTCTTGAAGGAGTTCCCACATATGCTGAGCACTTGTTGGCTGCTTTTCCTTCACTCTGCGGTCCGACTCATCCCAAACCATCTCAATTGGGTTGAGGGTGGGGGATTGTGGAGGCCAGGTCATCTGATGCAGCACTCCATCACTCTCCTTCTTGGTCAAATAGCCCTTACACAGCCTGGAGGTATGTTTTGGGTCATTGTCCTGTTGAAAAACAAATGATAGTCCCATTAAGCACAAACCAGATGGGATGGCGTATCGCTGCAGAATGCTGTGGTAGCCATGCTGGTTAAGCGTGCCTTGAATTCTAAATAAATCACTGACAGTGTTACCAGCAAAGCACCCCCACACCATCACACCTCCAAGCTTCACGGTGCAGAGATCATCCGTTCACTTACTCTGTGTCTCACAAAGACACGGCGGTTGGAACCAGAAATCTCAAATTTGGACTCATCAGACCAAAGGACAGATTTCCACCGGTCTAATGTCCATTGCTCGTGTTTCTTGGCCCAAGCAGGTCTCTTCTTCTTATTGGTGTCCTTTAGTAGTGGTTTCTTTGCAGCAATTCTACCATGAAGGCCTGATTCACGCAGTCTCCTCTGAACAGTTGATGTTGAGATGTGTCTGTTACTTGAACTATGTGAAGCATATATTTGGGCTGCAATCAATTGCCGGTTTCTGAGGCTGGTAACTCTAATGAACTTATCCTCTACAGAAGAGGTAACTCTGGGTCTTCCTTTCCTGTGGCGGTCCTCACGAGAGCCAGTTTCATCATAGCGCTTGATGGTTTTTGCGACTGCACTTGAAGAAACTTTCAAAGTTCTTGAAATTTTCTGGATTGACTGACCTTCATGTCTTAAAGTAATGATGGACTGTCTTTTCTCTTTGCATATTTGCGCTGTTCTTGCCATAATATGGACTTGGTTTTTTACCAAATAGGGCTATCTTCTGTATACCACCCCTACCTTGTCACAACACAACTGTTGGCTCAAATGCATTAAGGAAAGAAATTCCACAAATTAACTTTTAACAAGGCACACCTGTTAATTGAAATGCATTCCAGGTGACTACCTCATCCTCCCGAGTGGCGCAGTGGTTCGAATCCAGGCTCTGTCATAGCCGGCCGCGACCGGGAGACCCATGGGGCGGCGCACAATTGGCCCAGCGTCGTCCAGGGTAGGGGAGGGAATGGCCGGCAGGGATGTAGCTCAGTTGGTAGAGCATGGTGTTTGCAACTTCAAGGTTGTGGGTTCGATTCCAGTATAAAAAAATAAAATGTATGCACTCACTAACTGTAAGTCGCTCTGGATAAGAGCGTCTGCTAAATGACGTAAATGTAAAAAAAATGTATTCATGATGCTGGTTGAGAGAATGCCAAGAGTGTGCAAAGCTGTCATTAAGGCAAAGGGTGGCTACTTGAAGAATCTCAAATATAAAATATATTTTGCTTTGTTTAACACTTTTTTGGTTACTACATGATTCCATGTGTTATTTCATAGTTTTGATGTCTTCACTATTATTCTACAATGTAGAAAATAGTAAAAAAAATAAAGAAAAACCCTTGAATGAGTAGGCGTTTCCAAACTGTTGACTGGTACTGGGTGGGTGTGTGTGTGTATATGTATAGATATCTGTGACCTGCTGCTGACTATCAGCTAGTGAGCAGGCTGTTACTGAGTGAGTGAGTGAGTGAGTGAGTGAGTGAGTGAGTGAGTGGTGGAGAGGGGGAGGGCCATAGGGGTGTGTGTGCGTTGAGAGAGTGCTGCAGCAGAGGCAGCTGAGTCAAGAGGAGCATTCGCGCACTTCATGACAACTGTTGACCAGTTGTAGTTAGGCTATTTAGATTGGTCATTATGGAGACACCCCTTTTCCATCAAACATATTAACGCGATATAACTGATATAATGGCGACAAAGCATTGGAAAACGACTTTAGGCACACAAGAGCTCTTTAGATAAATTTAACTGCATTCTAATGCCGACTTTTCTCCTCCCACAGCAGACAAGATCAGGACACGCAGGTTGAAATATCAAAACGAACTCTGAACCAACTATATTAACTTGGGGACAGGTCGAAAATCATTAAACATTTATGGCAATTTAGCTAGCTAGCTTGCTGTTGCTAGCTAATTTGTCCTGGGATATAAACATTGGGTTGTTATTTTACCTGAAATGAACAAGGTCCTCTACTCCAACAATTAATCCACAGATAAAATGGTACACCAAGTTCAGGCTTCCTTCAGGCTTCTCCTTCTTTGGACTTTATATGGCGGTTGGCAACCAACTTTAAGATGCATTACCACCACCAACTGGACTGGAGTGTGGACCTCAGTTCATCTTTCAATCACCCACGTGGGTATATGCTCCTAAAAACCAAATGGGGAGAGGCAGGACTTGCAGCGCGTTGAGCGTCACAATTAGAACCGATTTCTATTTTAGCGCCTGGCCACGCAGACGCTAGTTAAAGGGCACGAGCAGTGTGGGTGCAACGATTGAATAACATGTATGTGGCCATGTTTAGTTAATTAAATTAGAAGTTATTAATTGTGATCATGGTCACAGCTCTATTGCAAATGTATACTTCTCCACATTTACTGTCAGTTTCATTGTGGACTTTTCCCTGAAAAGAGATGTTGGCATATCAGGGGCTATAGGCTACCTGCATCTTGCTCAGTAAACAATGGCAAAATTTAATTGCAATTATAAACCCAGATTTTAGTCAGTAGCCTATGTCTATTGAAATAACAAGTCAATCTCGCAAATATGCCATTTATAACGGTTTGTAGTCTCAACATCTAGCACATAACGGCACAATTGCCAGAAAAATAGCCTAACATTTGTTTTTTAATGTTCTTCCAAGTGTTTCTTGCACAGAGATTGAGATCCTCTGTCCAACTTGCATCACTCACACTCTCCTGTGGGATTTATCTATAGTTATGCACATGTGCAAACAGGATTTATTTACAATTATAAACTGGGTGGTTTGAGCCCTGAATGCTGATTGGTTGAAAGCCATGGTTTATCAGACGTGTACCACGGGAATGACAAAAAGGTACTTTTTAATGTTCTAATTACGTTGGTTACCAGTTTATAGTAGCAATAAGGTACCTCAGGGGTTTGTGGTATACAGTGCTGTGCAAAAGTATTTGCCCCCTTTCTAATTTTCTCTACTTTTGCATATTTGTGATACTGAATGTTATCAGATCTTCAACCAAAACCTAATATTAGATAAAGGGAACATAAGTGAACAAATAACACAACAATTACATATTTATTTCATAAGAAATGTTATGCAACACCCAATTCCCCTGTGTGAAAAAGTAATTGCCCCCTTACACTCAATAACTGGTTGTGCCACCTTTAGCTGCAATGACTCCAACCAAATGCTTTCTGTAGTTGTTGATCAGTCTCTCACATCGCTGTGGAGGAATTTTGGCCCACTCTTCCATGCAGAACTGCTTTAACTCAGTGACGTGTGGGTTTTCAAGCATGAACTGGTCATTTCAAGTCCTGCCACAACATCTCAATTGGGATTAGGTCTGGACTTTGACTAGGCCATTCCAAAACTTCAAATGTGTTGCTTTTGAACCATTTTCATGTAGACTTGATTGTGTGTTTTGGATCCTTGTCTTGCTGCATGACCCAGCTGTGCTTCAGCTTCAGCTCACAGACGGATGGTCTGACATTCTCCTGTAGAATTCTCTGAGACAGAGCAGAATTCATGGTTTCTTCTATTAAGGCAAGTCGTCCAGGTCCTGAGGCAGCAAAGCATCCCCAAACCATCACCACCATGCTTGACCTTTGGTATGATGTTCTTACTGTGGAATGCAGAGTTTGGTTTTCACCAGGCATTGCTGGAACCATGTCGTCCAAAAAGTTATACTTTCATCTTTCCATAGAACGTTCTTCCAAGAGTCTTGATGATCATCCAGGTGCTTTTTGGCAAACTTGAGTCAACTTTTTGGACGAGATGGATCCCAGTAATGCCTGGCGAAAACCAAACACTGCATTCCACAGTAAGAACATCATACCAAAGGTCAAGCATGGTGGTAATGGTTTGGGGATGCTTTGCTGCCTCAGGACCTGGACGACTTGCCTTAATAGAAGAAACCATGAATTCTGCTCTGTATCAGAGAATTCTACAGGAGAATGTCAGACCATCCGTCTGTGAGCTGAAGCTGAAGCGCAGCTGGGTCATGCAGCAAGACAATGATCCAAAACACACAATCAAGTCTACATGAAAATGGTTCAAAAGCAACAAATTGGAAGTTTTGGAATGGCCTAGTCAAAGTCCAGACCTAATCCCAATTGAGATGTTGTGGCAGGACTTGAAACGAGCAGTTCATGCTTGAAAACCCACACGTCACTGAGTTAAAGCAGTTCTGCATGGAAGAGTGGGCCAAAATTCCTCCACAGCGACGTGAGAGACTGATCAACAACTACAGAAAGCATTTGGTTGGAGTCATTGCAGCTAAAGGTGGCACAACCAGTTACTGAGTGTAAGGGGGCAATTACTTTTTCACACAGGGGAATTGGGTGTTGCATAACTTTGTTTATGAAATAAATATGTAATTGTTGTGTTATTTGTTCACTTATGTTCCCTTTATCTAATATTAGGTTTTGGTTGAAGATCTGATAACATTCAGTATCACCAATATGCAAAAGTAGAGAAAATTAGAAAGGGGGCAAATACTTTTGCACAGCACTGTATGGCCAATATACCACAGCTATGTCCTAAGAACAGCCCTTAGATGTGGTATATTAGCCATATACCACACCTCCTCTGGCCTTATTGCTTAATCATAGTGTAACCGGTGTGAAATGGCTAGCTAGTTAGCGGTGCGCACTTGTAGCGTTTCAATCGGTGAATTCACTCGCTTTGAGACCTTCAAGTAGTTGTTTCCCTTGCTCTGCAAGGACTGCGGCTTTTGTGGAGCGATGGGTAATGATGCTTCGAGGGTGACTGTTGTCGATGTGTGCAGAGGGTCCCTGGTTCAAGCCCAGGTAGGGGCGAGGAGAGGGACGGAAGCAACACTGTTACAATAGCAGTCTAAACAAGTTAAATCGACATCCATTGATGGACAATGATCTGGAGAGTTTAATAAGGGCGATTTATATTTTCTCTTGCGACATTCTTAAACTCGCAATAATTATTATTTTGATGGAAAACCACATTTTACTTCTTAGCCTACGTCGTAAAAAATTAAAGTCGATATTCCTTCTTAATTCACTCGATAACGTTATGGAAAAAGGGTTTATTGGATAAATGTGGCAACGCCTCTCTTGCTGCGGAAAAGAATGTTGGGCTAGTTTTCAGTGGGTTGTCAGAGGTCAACGGGCTAGACATTTTAGCTAGACCTGGCAACCCTGCCAGTGTGTGTGTCTGTTGTTTAGACTGAGTGTACAAAACATTAGGAACATGCTCTTTCCATGACAGACTGACCAGGTGAAAACTATTGATGTCACCTGTTAAATCCACTTCAAATCAGTGTAGATGAAGGGGAGGAGACAGGTTAAAGATGGATTTTTAAGCCTTTAGACAATTGAGACATGGATTGTGTTTGTGTGCCATTCAGATGGTGAATGGGCAAGAAAATATTTAAGTGCCTTTGAACAGGGTATGGTAGTAGGTGCCAGGCGCACCAGTTTGAGTGTGTCAAGAACTGCAACGCTTCTGGGCTTTTCACAGTCAACAGTTTCCCGTGTGTATCAAGAATGGTCCAGCACCCAAAGCACATCCAGCCAACTTGACACAACTGTGGGAAGCATTGGAGTCAACATGGGCCAGCATCCCCGTGGAACGCTTTCGACACCTTATAGAGTCCATGCCCGGACAAATTGAGGCTGTTTCGAGGGCAAAAGGTGTTCCTAATGTCAGATGCTCATAGCTAGCCCTGCACTGGTCAGACAGGTCCGTTACACACTCCCGCAAGGGAATAAATATTGCCCTGAGCCTGACAGTGTTATCGTGGGTGGCATTATGTGCATGGGATGAGTGTACACAAAGTTGTAGTTGTTGTTTAACTTGGCTTTGTGTGAGTCTATAAGTAGTCATAATTTAACAATTACTATGTTATGCATGTATGCTGTCTCCATTAATTGTAGCTCTGCTTTAGATGACTTACCTTCATGTAAACACAGTCCTTTCTTACACTGCCATTGTTTATTCCTTGTTAGCAAACATGCTAGTCATTAGCCCACTGTACAATGTAATATATGCATAGATACAGTCCTTGATATTAAGTATTGCTGTGTAATAACCTACTGTTTATTGCTGCAGTGTATTATCATATGGAGTCCTTCATATTGTGCTATTGTACTTCTATGCAATTACATGGTTCTAGCGCATTCATGTCCATTCACTGCTCTATCCATTGTATGTGAATATTCATTATTCCTTTCTCTGCACCTTTCAGAACCATCCCCATGTTCATCTTCTCCTGTGTGTGAACACAAATTCCCTGTGTGTCAACTCTTGGGCTGCTTTATTCCACTCTAACCGGGGGCGGTGTCAGTCAGTCACAAACCAGTAAAATACGTAGAGCCGGGTTGCTCTCTTTCAAACAAAGTTTCTAATGTGTTTCATCTTCTGTTGAAAAACTGCATAGGAGACACAGAGGACAGAGAGAGAGAGACATTTTCATACAGCCCCCTCATAATCAACAGTGGCTTGTGTTCAAGGCAAGCCACTCACAAAAATAAAACATGTTAAGTGAAATACTGAACTTAAATAGCCAACATCAGAAAGATCCTTTAATGGGATCAGTGAGTTTGGCTACTCTCATATTCTAAATGACTCCAACTTCAGTTCATCAACTTTAAATGGACATAATGTAATTGACTCCCCCTACTCTTTACCTAAATCTGAGCCATATCAGTGTAACAATGCAATACAGTGTGAGCTTACTAGCCTACTACGACAATCGTGAAATCATGACAAAGTAATGAGATATGAGAACCCCACGCATTGCCTGTATGCAACTTCCAATCAGTGCGCATATATGGACTGTTAGAGCAAAAATTAAGCATGCAGCCAGGTCAAAACATTGAATTGTGGATGTTCTCGGAACTGTTATCTGATAGAATCACTTATTTCTGCTGGTACCTCGCTGCTATTCGACCTATGATGCATGGAGAAGGGTGCAATTGGGGGCGTTCCAGCATGTGGGAATTCCTGTTTTTGTAGGAACCCCTCTTTATACTTCATTTTTAAGCTAGGACAGGCAGGAGGGTGGGGCGCTCCAGGACAGTAGGGGTTCGGCAGGCGGGAGCAAAGGACACTGTCTATCGGTGTTGCCCCCGCTACCTAGTAAGGAGGTCTGGTACATAGAAGCCGGGATGTGCGGCGAAAAACTGACAATTCCACAGACAGAAGGGAAAATCCAGATACGTCACAGGGGCTATAAAGCTGAAGCATCCATTTAGAACGTTTTCTCACTACCAAATATGGTAGTGAGAGGAAGTCCAGTCGCGGGTAGTGGGAGAGGATGGAACTAGGTGAAAATGGGCCAACATTCTGCACATTTTCTCATCTATGAAACATCTAATCTCAATCAATTTCTGTTCCCAAAACTAGAATATGTTACCAACACAGTGCACTGTTTTATAGACTTCGCGCTTTGCCAAAGTTTTAAAAAATGGCATTGTTTAGAAGGAGTGCAAGGTCCTAACGGAAATATGCAAACACATGCTACAATGCACCAATAGGATCTCGCTAACTCCTGCTTGGCTTTTTTTTATTTAACCTTTATTTAAGCTTTGCACACCTCCTTGCTTGTTCTGGCCACTATACTTCATTTGCTCCCACTGTAAATAACACACAAACTATATTGGGTTAGTTATAAATATCTTTGCAAGGTTCATGCACGGCTAGGCAACAGACCTGTTAGAACGTTGGAATATCGCTAGTCGCAAACCGTTACAAAGTAACAACTGTGTAGCTAACGTGTTTGTTTCCATATGGAGAGTGTTATCATTCTGCTAAAGAGTGTGTGTTTGGTGTCAGTTGTCGCAGGACACATCAAAGCTACAACAGGCTGGCAGACAGTAGTAATCGCGGCACTGCTGAAAGGAACGTATCCGCTGTTCTGAAACACAGACTGGGTAAACAACGGAAACCGGTGACTAGCTCAATCCGATACTCTTATCTATCAACACGTTTGGCTGTTGGCTACATTTTACCTCTGACAGTCATATGAAACAAGTGTATATAAATATGATTTATTAGATAGTTACCTTGCGATCCCATATATTCCCTTCAATCGAGAAAATATCCCGCTGTTGAAAACAGAGAAAAACTGAAGTAGTAAACGTGGACACACGTCAGATTACAAGACAAACATTCGCTCACATTAGAGTTCCGCAGCGATGAACCAAACGATTCTGTTCAAATTCCAAAGTGGAACGTCCATAATCATTTTACTAAATAGAATACGGCGTGGGGTAAATTGTCTCACCTTTTGCCGTAGCTGTCAGATGAGGTTTAGCGATTACGGAACTAGCTACACCATCTTCCATTGGACGAGGCCTGAAAATCGTGTGCTGCAGTGGATATGTTTATAAGTATTTTCTAGTCAAGACATACTTGATATCCACTCTAAACTATCCGTAATGTTAGCTAAAAATTAATCGAGTCCCCTTCTCGCTCGCTACTCGAGTTTGTCTTCCCCGTTTTACGTCCTTGAGACAGACTACTACAAAATCAACCCCTATACTTACACACTAGGCTACGCTTCCACGTTAGCTGTTTCATTCGGCTTATGACAGCTGCGTACTCAAGGCAAATACTTAAAAAATTGTTAGCACTTTTAAGCCGTCTCAGCCTTTAAAGTCCATGGCCGTGTTCGAGAGCATCAAATCAATGATGCATTGTGGGTAAATGGTGGCCGATTGACTGATCTACAAATAATAATGAGTAGTTATTTATGATGCAAGGTGATTTGTAGACCAGTCAGTCCGTAGTCGTCTGCAATGTCGAAGAAGCCCAATGTCCAACAGTTTAATGACGAGAAAAACATAAGCAGGAAGTTCGTCATAAGAACCCTCTGTGATTGGTCAAATCTTATTGAGTGATCCAGGGAAATCCACAGACACACTTCTAAGCACACATACTGTAGCACATGCAATACCTGAGTGAAACGCCATGGACTGGAGTTTGATTGTACAACCAGTAGTGGAATTCTCTCACTCACTCACATGCACGCACACACACGAGATAATTGGCGCCATTCTGAAAGGAAAGGGGAAAATTAAAGAAAGTTTGCTGGATTGCTCAAGAAGATGATTCAGTCCCCCCAAATCCTTGCCACTAATTCATTTGTATTGAGACATGAGAAAGTCAGGAGCTAGGATCTAACTACAGACCTCACGGTGCATTTATAAGACAAGTACACCATGCCATTAGGTTCCAGACCCCAAGGTAGAGGTTGTGGCATGAACCAACTACTATATCTATAGGCCTTCAGAAAGGTCTCTCTCGCAATTCAATATTGTAAATCCCTCAAGTAAGTTCACCTCACCTTGTAAATCCCTCAAGTAAATTCACCTCACCTTCGGGATGAAACAAGGTGAGCGAGGCCTGAAAGCCGAGGCTAATCCCTCTAACACTGATGTATGTAGCATATGCAGGGGGGTAGCTAGTCCCGAAGTGGCAATGTTTTACAATGTGTACGGCATAGCCATTCACATTTACACACACAAAAAAAGCTATGTCCCTTGTCACGATAGTTGAATAAAATTATATTTGAATTTACTCTGCCGATTGTCCTTGTGGTTGGTCCTTCAGCTGGTCGAAATTTGAGACAAAATATCTACAGGAAAGTATTATTAAACCAACTTCAAAACCAGCGGTGTAAAGCACCTAAGTAAAAATACTTGAAAGTACTACTTAAGTAGTTTTTTTTGGGTATCTGTACTTTACTATTGATTTTTTTGACTACTTTTACTTTTACTACACTACATTCCTAAAAAAAATAATGTACTTTTTACTCCATACATTTTCCCTGACACCCAAAAGTACTCGTTACATTTTGAATGCTTAACAGGACAGGAAAATGATCCAATTCACACACTTATCAAGAGAACATCCCTGGTCATCCCTACTTCATCTGATCTGGCGGACTCACTAAACACAAATGCTTCATTTGTAAATTATGTCTGAGGGTTGGAGTATGCCCTTGACTACCTGTAAATTAAAAAAACAAGACAATTGTGGCGTTTGGTTGCCTAATATAAGTAATTTGAAATGGTTTATACTTTTACTTTTGATACTTAAGTATATTTCAAACCAAATACTTTTAGACTTTTACTCAAGTAATATTTTACTCGTTGACTTTCAATTTTACTCGAGTCATTTTCTATTAAGGTATCTTTACTTTTACTCAAGTATGACAATTGGGTACTTTTTCCACCACTGTTCAAAACGCGGGTCTCTGTGTGTGGCAATCAATATGTGTTTGCTCATGACCTAAGGCACATGCACAATATGGAAGTACATGCACTAAATACATGCATACTAACCAGTCTTGGGCGTTTACATGGTCGCTGTATTCTAATTCTAAGAGGGTTATTTGCATAAATCCGGAAGTTGAGTCAGTTTTGTCTTGCAGCCAGGCGTTCTGGTACTTGTAGTTCTTTTTTTACACCCATCTTAGATCTACACTCCTATCACAGTAAGTATTTCTCGTGACAATCTATCAACATCTAACTTAGAATTGTGTGCCATTATATGTGGTAGTTATCGTAAATAGGTCTTCTTAAGTTTGGTATTACTGAGGAATTCACATTTAATGGTTATTATCTCGTATGATTTCGCTAACAAGCTAACTAACGACGCCAGTCTCTTGTCTCGAAACCAACGTGAGCTAGGTAGCTAGCTGTGTTTCTGTTAGCTAGTGTCCAAATAACATTTGTACATAATACCCTATTAAACATTCCGTAGGGTGTGGGATGGCCATCTACTTAAATGTGCAACAAGAGTGTGAATAAAGTGAGATAGCTAACTAGTAAGCAAACAAGTCAATTTGTTAACAAGCCAACCAGCCAGTTGGTTAGCTAGCTAACACAACAAACCAGCAAAGTTTGCCCCATACCTTGTATTGCGTCATGAAATTCTAGGTTGGAATCCAGGCAGTTCTAACATTTTCATTTAGAAGACCGCTATAGTTACTGTAGTTAGCTATTTTAGTTATTACCTCTGCAGTGCCCTATCATGTTCATGTATGCCACAGACACAGTTGCTTGTACTGTAGCTCAAGTTACACCGTTTAGTTGTTCCATATTTCGCGGCTTGTCATTCAAGGGTCATGTCTTGGCTTTGCCCATCCAAACACAGCGTTGCCAAACCTGTTACCCATTTCAATCACATTCACATTTAGACATTATTACACCCTTACCTCTGACCAGAGGTTTTGTTTTGTTTTGTTGACAGACATGCCAGGTGAAACCACTGCAGAGACAGGCCCAGCGATGGAGCTGCCACAGGCTGAGACTGGTTAGTATCTTATTTATATTTCTCAATGTGTCTGTACTGTCCTTTAGGCTGTCTGTTGACCTGGCATGATATGTTTTTCCACATATGGGGTCCTGGAACTCAACAGCAAAATTACTAAACAATCGGTTTTTATTTTGTCAAAATGGCATTTCTTTACTCTGATCATGCTAGACCTAACCTTGTGTGTAATCTCAATTAAACTCTAACATAGAATCCAACAGGGTTTGTTTTTGTTTCCAGGACGCTAAAACATCTACCGTACTCACCTGTACTGTATGAGGTTTCTTTCTACTGTACTCACCTGTACTTTGAGGTTTCTTTCTACTGTACTCACCTGTGCTGTATGAGTTTTGTCTTGGGACTGGGGTGTAATGGACAAACTAATACGCCATTATACTTTTTCTTGTGGTGTCTTGCATGGAACATAATCTGTCCCCCAGAAATATCTGTCGTGAATGCCTATTCAAAAAGGCAATGAGAAAGCATAGTGATGTCCTCACGAATGAGTTTTCAGAATTTGAGCTATTACATTTACCGGTGAGAAATATTTGCTAAATTACTGGATTATTTTTCTGTTCAATATGCTATACGATGCTTGGATTACCAGTGGTCATTATCCATTCACAATAATGGGCGAATTATAATCTGAATCTGATGTAGGCCTAATGTTAAATGTAATCTGTCATGTTTATAAGTAAAATGGCTTGTGAATCACTAATCTACTGGAATTGTTCATGCTAAATGAAAATGCTCAACTCAAAGGTTCCTCAACTGCTGTACATTCAACTACATCTTTCATCAATCTTAGGGTGTGTTCGTAAATTCAATTTGTGAGTGCGCTCTGGGCGTTTTGTAAATTCAGAGCGTTGTCAGATTGTCAGTTTGTAAATTCAGAGCATTTTACTTGCCCTTGCAGAGCTGGTTAGGCTGTTTTCAAGTTATCTAGAGCATTGGCGACTGTAACTGTGCTGCTGGCAACAATTTAAATACGTTTTTTTTTGCCGACGTTTACTGACACCGGCCATATTCAACGGGTGTTGAGCGTTCCAAAATTAATCAGTTATTCTGCACTCTGGCACACTCAGACGAGAGTGCTCTGAAATCGGAGGAGATGGCCAGAGTGAATTTACGAACGCACCCTTAATTTCCTTACACTTCCTGTCTGATCTAGCCTAAATAGTACTCAAGGTAAAGCATGTTCGATTAGTCTCCTCCTTCACTTTCTTAGAACATCTCTTGAATGGTAAACCTAATAGACTCTATATTTTGTACTCGCTTCTTCAGTCTGTGTACTGAAAGATGATGGGTCCCAAGGGGTTTCACTTGAATGCGGGCACTGCATGATAAGACTGGCAGGGGAATACAAATATTCACTATCTCTGTAACAAACACTCTCACAAAGACTCCTGTTTATACTGTCACGATTAGACTCACATTGGGATCATCATGCACAACTTGGTGGTCTACATTGTTACCGTTCTTCTGTGTGTAGAAACAGTACGTCTTGTAGTTCCGTTAGTACATGTTGGAGTTGTTGTTTCTCAACAGTAGTATTGGTTTCTCCAATTTCTTGTTAAGATGAATTTGGACTAAATTCAGCCCCGGTCTTGATTCGCCTATAGTTATTCTTAAGGAGAGAGAATCTCTCACTCCCTAGTTTGGAACAGTATCCCACTTTTTTATAACATTTGTATAGATATGTGTTCCCCAACATGGGTTGCAGCTTTTAATGTCGCTGTGACTCCCCCCCCTACTCTTTCAACTTCCCCTTTCTACTCCTCCTACTCTTTTCCTGGATTCCCAGTGTTGGGAGTCGATGGGAGTTGTATCGGCAAACCAGTTTCACTACCCGAGGTAACCAAGGAAATGGCTGATCCATGCCCCACTGTAGCTGCCGAAGCAGTTCAAGATCACACTGAGAAGGTTAAGGACAAGCTGAATGAAGAAGAGATTGCTAGTCCTGTTAAAGAAGAACCAACAACCCAAGACCAAACTGCTGCTGTGCCAGAGGAAGACAGAGTGACCGCTGAGGAGCCAACTGTTGAAGCACCGGAGGTTGCTGTTGAAGAACAAGCTAGTCAAATAGTGCCAGTTCCTGAAGCCACCACAGAAGAGCAAGAAACTGCTTCAGAATATCTTACAGCAACTGTGGCACCTGAAGTGGTTGAAGCCCCTGAGGTTGTGAGCGTTGCGGTCCAACAAAACGAAGTGGCCACTCAGAGCGAGGAACCCAAGGTGAAGGTCCGGACTAAGGATGTTAATGGTCATTCCAGGTCATTTGCTATTCATTCAGGTGGGTTATATGTGTTTGAACTTAATGAAAACTGTCCCTCCCTCTAGGTGCTTTTCTTATGCCAATTTGGTTGGTTAAAATTTTAAATGATGTTTGCGCTTTAGTGCTAAAGGAATCAGCAATGACCTTAGTCTTCTTTCTGAAAGGGTCACCTTTTTCGGTCTAAAGTTGGGAATTTCAATGATCACTAACTACACAATTTCTAAATCACCTTAACCATCTGTCAGGTTCGTGCCAGTCTGGCACAGGGTAGTTTTGACTGTGCTGTGCTGTGGCTGCTGTGGGTCTATAGAACCTTTTTTTTTTTTTTAAGAAGCTGGTTGTCCTTGCTAGTAGTTTGCGTTGCAGTGCACAATAACCTGTGTGTTCTTTGCCTGTTGACAGTGTGCTGTCTTTACTGTAACATTTGTATGCTAGTTAAGTGTAACTAACATGCATTGTCACTTAAAGAAACAATTCCCTTTGCCACTCCTTATGCCCCCCACCCCCCACCCAAAGCCTTTCGTGAACTAATACTCGCACTTGACCCCCCCCCCCCCCCCCCCCCCTTACTAGCTGACTTTATTGAGGGAAAATGTACTTACTATGACTGTGATGTGGTTGTCCTACCTAGCTATCTTTAGATGAATGCACTAACTGTAAGTCCCTCTAATAAGAGCGTCTGCTAAATGACGAAAATGTGAATAATGTAGTGACTGTAGTTCTTGAGATTGAACATGCTCTTATGTTGTTGTCAATCGCTGTATAGTGTGACAAATCTTTTGCAACCCCTTTTTGCACCGACTAGTCAGGTTTTGTCATTGACATTTGTATTTATTATGGATCCCCATTAGCTGCTGCCAGTCTACTAGAGCTGACATTCAACATTCTCTTATGACATTGCCACTTGTCAGTCACTGTTATCCAAATCCAACTGACATCCTGTCTTTTCTTTAGACTCTGCTTCCAAGGTGCTCTCCTCCTTTCCCCCGTGCTGTTCTAACAGACCCCCTATCCCCCTAAAAACTGGGACCACGCCTCCTCTGTCCTCTTCGCCCAAAGCTGTGCCTTCTTTCACCACCAAGCGCCCATCTCCAACCAACCCTACCTCCTCTCCTAAGTCTCCCTCCACGCTTTACTGCTCCTCCACTCCCCCCTCTTCACCCCTGGCCTCGCCCCCTGTCGGCTCTCCTCTTGGTGGCACCGACAAGCACCAGGCCACCCCACAACCCAAGGTAATAAAAGCCGTGGAGCCAGGGAATGCTGAGAGTTTTACTAGGTCCAACGTACAACTAGAGCCTACTAAACCTAAACCTGCCCCTCTGGTTGACGCTCCACAGCTGCCAGCTGAATCTAACAATATTGCGCTGTTACCTGAAGCTCTACAACCAACCAACTCTAACCCCGCTGCACCAGTTAATGCCAGGCCATTGCCTCCCACCATGTCTGGTGCTGCTTCACACCTTCACAAACCCCCTGCCATTCCTGTTCTATCCTCAACGGAACTATCCTCTGCCTCGTACGCTCAGCAAGTGGATGTCACTGCCGCCGCCTTCCTAACTGAAGATGCTGTCCTCTTTTCCCCAGCCCCAGCAGCTCCTTCCATAGCTGTAGTAGCCACCAAGGCTGAAGTTGTCCATCCTGAGGATTCCACAACCACTAAAGCTACTGCCTTTCCAGCTCAGGTCTCATTGTCAGAAGTGACGGACGTTCCATTGGCTACGTCGCCTGTTAAAGCCTGCCCCTTCTCTTTTAAAGTGTTCTGCGAACATGCTGCTCCTGCACCTATGTCGTTCTCCACTGCTTTGCCCCCTCGGAGAGCTACAGAAGGTCAAGCAAAGGACCAGGTGCATAAGGCTATAGCTGTATCTGCTGAGGCTTCTGTTGTGAAGGCTGAGCTGCCCTGTGAGTCTGCAGCAGTTGACGACCGAGCTGAACAGGTGTCCGTAGACGTGGCTGCTAAAGCGGCCAGCTGAGAAGCAGGATGATATGCCTGCTGCTGCCACTGTTGCCCCTCTCCAAGCTTCTGCTGCTGAGCGTCCCGCCGTTGAAAATATTCCCACCACTGTATTCCAGTCTCCTCCATCTCCATTCGAAAAGGAAACCCCTCCAATTCCCTTTACTGCCCCCTGGTGTGGAGGTGTTTGTCCTTCCTAAAACACCAGCACCTCGAGCGGCTTCTCCTCCCAGGCTATCCCCTGTCCCTGTCACCCCACTGATTCCACTAGACGAACCCGGCGGCGGCACACCCGTATTCCCCCGTCCACCCACACCAGTGGAGTCTCCCTCACCCCTCAAACCCTCCCCCCCTCCTTACCTCACCTCCATCTTTATCACTGAGCCTTCACCAGATCCAGAGCCCATTGTGGTAAAGCCAGTGGTCAACAACAACAACAAGGGTATTATGAATCCACATTGGCCTGCTTCGCATGACAATTTTTTAAAATGTCACTAACAATATTAGTATGCATAATTTAGGGTCAGGTAATTTCTATCTTCATCGGATACATTGGGGTAAAATGTAAGTATTTGTTCAGTCACTAACATAGCACTAACAGGATTTTTTTTTTTTTACAGCAGGTAAAATATAGACAATTCTGACTATTTGGGATGGTCTCTTTTTTTGAATGGTTGTCTAACTATGTTTATTCCTACAGTCTATGTTTGGTTCATCCTCACTCTAGAAAATCCACCCTTTGCTTGGCTTCTGTAGTGGCAACCATTAGTGCTGACCAAAACCTGACCAATGGCAAAATGTGTATTTGACTTGCAAGCTCTCACAGTGGTTAAGATGTAAACGTGTGTTAAGAAATGAGTTCACCTGTGCTGTATGTTACTGTTTCAGTGGTGCAGTCTTCAGAGTTCCTATGGACAAAGACCTCTCACATCTTGATTGGCGATAACATAAACCAGCAGTCAGACTTCGAATGTCGTCAATGACCTGCACACACCTGTTTTGACATTTGATCTTTAACACAACAATGTATATTTCGGTCCAGTCACTAATACAGGGGTTCTCAAACTTTTTTGGGGGCCACGACCCCATTTTGATATCATTTATACAATTTTATTTGGGCTATGACAGTCTATTACAAATCAGTCTGACAGTATTTTTGACAGTATTTCAATCTGAAGGAAGCATTGTTTGAAGTGACTGAAATGCATTAGAAAGGTATTTGGAAGTTCAGAAGATCATCAGGCAATAATTTTGTATGATCTGTGTAGAAAAGAACGCCATTGATGTTATTTTCCCACCAGTCTGATTAACTGCCTGGTCTTGTCCACTCTGTTCTAATGAGTCCTGCAGCTTGTGGGCATTGTAGAAGGAAACAGAAGACACGTCCGTGTTCCTGAGAATCGTATCTTTCAGTGACGGGGTCATAATATTTTTTTTTAGCTTAAATCGTTCAAAAGAGAGCCACATTTTTCTGAAGAAAACAGAAACCGATCTGTGTATTACAACCACATCTAGTGGCTACCGGAGGTTACTGACGTAACCGCGGATCTATGAACCAAGCCCAATGTTTTTTGTTTTGTTTCTCTCGCGACCTCATTTTCAAATCGGCGAGACCTCTAGTTTGGGAAGTGCTGCACTAATACAATGTCCTTTAACTGTCCCAGGGAACTGTATGAGTGTATTTGAATGTGATTGTAACCAAGTTGACTCCTTATATCACCACATAATTACCTTCCCTTAGATGCCTTTTCTGCTTAATGTAAATTGTTTTGTTTACGTTATACTAAAGAACTGATTGTGTGGTATTTTGTGACCATGTGACATGTTCAAATGGAATGTATCTGATGGTGTCTAGGGTCTGGCACAGATTCCGACAGTGATGAGTCCGTACCAGATTTGGAGGAGCAGGACGCGACACAGACACAGCAGGCACAGGTACAGTATGGCCACCAGGGGGTGCTGCTCCCCTACACTCAGGGGCCACCAGGGGGTGCTGCTCACCTACTCCCAGGGGTCATATCGAGGGAGGAGGGGGGGGGAATCCCTCTTGTAAATAAAAAGGACATTGTGTGTCCCCTTTTTATTAACTTGATTTTGACCCTTTTTTTTTTTTTTGCAGAAGCTCTTATCCAGAGCGACTTTAGTTTTAGTGAGTGCATACATATTCATACTGTGTTAATATACTTAACACCCCTCCCCGTTAACGCAACCACCTATTAACCCCTGTCTCCATCAATTGTTTATTAGTTGTACAGTATGAAAAATGTATGCACTCACTAACTGTAAGTCGCTCTGGATAAGAGCATCTGCTAAATGACTAAAATGTACAGTTGATAAATGGCAGGTTGGCGTTTGTCATGAATCTTGCCCTGGAGGCAGAACTGAGCGATTTCCGCTAGATGGACCAGCTGCAAAGTCAAAATTGGCTATATCGTAAGAATTCCTGAAAAGAAAGTGCTCATTTAATTTAGGGTTAGGCATTAGGGTTTAGTGTGGTTGGGGTTAAGGTTAGGTTTAAAGTCTGATTGTATGACTTTGTGGCTGTGCCAGCTAGTGACCTCTCGCAGAGCTGCCTCCACTACATGAGTCATGACGATAAATAACAACCTGCTGATTAATGTGTCCAGCTTACAGAATAACTGATTTTTACAAACCTGTTATTGTTCTCTCCTCAGCTTGCTGCAGCAGCTGAGATCGATGAGGAACCAGTCAGCAAAGCCAAACAAAGCAGAAGTGAAAAGAAAGCTAGAAAGGTCAGTTATGTTAATTCAAATGTTCCTAGAGTACATTTAATTGCCCCTGAAGTACCACAACAATCAAAAGCAATGTTCTCAACATTTGCTCCATGGACCAGCTACTTCTCCGAATGATTTGCTAAATCAATTACTTGTTTTGCTCTGAGGTTGTGCTGAAAATGAGCTGCTATACTACACAACATTGTTTTGAACTACCATCATAATGAAAAGTTCATGTTTGGGGAATGATGCCATAAGGACATCATTTCTTAAGTCTAAGTTTTTTACCCAGTGTAAAAACACAATTATATGCTAAATGGTTCAGTTGTAATGACTTTCAGTTCAGTTTCCTTTGGACAATATGTTTCCTACAGACAATATGTTAATTGATTAGCTACTATAGTGTCCTATGGACAAAATATAATCATCTTCTCTGTCAACACCAGGCCATGTCCAAGCTCGGCCTCCGTCAGGTGATGGGTGTAACCAGGGTTACCATCAGGAAGTCCAAGAACATCCTGTTTGTCATCCCAAAGCCAGACGTCTACAAGAGCTCCGCCTCCGACACATACATCGTCTTCGGAGAGGCTAAGGTAGGAATCTACGCAATTTTATATCAGACACGTACATTGTCTTCGGGGAAGCCAAGGCACGTGATGCTATTTTAAGTGGTTACCAGAAATACTAGCAGAATCATTAATCAATTTAATCTTGGTTGGATCTGACAGTGCAGCTTTTCATTTCAGATGGGACATGCAATACTTAATGGTTTATAAATGCCTTATAAGCTATTTATTTCACAAGTATGTATTTTAAGTTCTCTATGAATTATACAAAGATATGCTCAAATTATTCTTGCGATGCTGTTTTCTGAAAGTGAATTTCCTTTTGTTCCAGATTGAGGACCTGTCCCAACAAGCTCAGCTGGCAGCAGCAGAGAAGTTCAAGGTCCAGGGAGAAGACAGAATGTCCAGCATCCAGGAGAACACACAGACACCCACAGTACAGGAGGAGAGTGAAGAGGAGGAGGTGAGGGTCAAGGAAAACATTTACTTACTGTGATGTGTGGTTGTCTCACCTAGCTACACTGTGCCTTCGCAGAGTATTCAGACCCCTTGACTTTTTCAATATTTTGTTAGGTTACAGCTGTATTCTAAAATTTGGTGAAATTGTTTTTTTCCCCTCATCAATCTACACACAATACCTCATAACAACAAAGCAAAAACAGGTTTTTAGTATTCAGACAGTTTACTCAGTACTTTGATGATGCACCTTTGGCAGCGATTACAGCCTTGAGTCTTCTTGGGTATGACGCTACAAGCTTGGCACACCTGTATTTGGGGAATTTCTCCCATTATTTTCTGCAGATCCTCTCAATCTCTGTCAGGTTGGATGGGGAGCGTTGCTGCACAGCTATTTTCAGGACTCTCCAGCGATGGCTGTGTGCTTAGGGTCGTTGTCTTGTTGGAAGGTGAACCTTCACCCCAGTCTGAGGTCCTGAGCACTCTGGAGCAGGTTTTCATCAAAGATCTCTCTGTACTTTGCTCCGTTCATCTTTCCCTCGATCCTGACTAGTCTCCCAGTCCCTGCCGCTGAAAAACATCCCCACAGCATGATACTCTAAGCGGCTGTCATGTGCCTTTTACTGAGGAGAGGCTTCCGTCTGGCCACTTTACCATAAAGGCCTGATTGGTGGAGTGCTGCAGAGATGGTTGTCCTTCTGGAAGGTTCTCCCATCTCCACAGAGGAACTCTAGAGCTCTGTCAGAGTGACCATCGGGTGACTAAGGCCCTTCTCCCCTGATTGCTAAGTTTGGCCGGGCAGCCAGCTCTACGAAGAGTCTTGGTGGTTCCAAACTTCTTCCATTTAAGAATGATGGAGGCCACTGTGTTCTTGGGGACCTTCAATGCTGCAGACATTTTTTGGTACCCTTCCCCAGATCTGTGCCTTGACACAGTCCTGTCTCGGAGCTCTACGGACAATTCCTTCAACCTTATGGCTTGGTTTTTGCTCTGACATGCACGGTCAACTGTGGGACCTTAAATAGACCGGTGTGTACCTTTTCCAAATCATGTCCAATCAATTGAATTTACCACAGGTGGACTCCAATCAAGTTGTAGAAACATCTCAAGGATGATCAATGGAAACAGGATGCACCTGAGCTCAACTTCGAGTATATTTGCAAAGATTTCTACATTTACATTGACATTTTAGTCATTTAGCAGACGCTCTTATCCAGAGCGACTTACGGTTAGTGAATGCATACATGTTTTTTATTTTTTTTTCATACTGGCCCCCCGTGGGAAACGAACCCACATCCCTGCCGTCCAAACCCTCCCCTACCTTGGACGACGCTGGACCAATTGTGCGCCGCCCATGGGTCTCCCGGTCGCGGCTGGCTGCCACAGAGCCTGGACACGAACCAGGACCTCTAGTGGCACAGCTAGCACTGCGATGCAGTTAGCTTCTTCAATTAGATGCCAACTAATATTCATACATGGACAATAGGTGGGGCAGGAGGGAGAATGGTGTTCTTGATTTTGAGAAGAATTCCCCTTTTCTTTAGAGCTTCAAATTGAGATTGTTATCGTAAGCAACAACAAAAAATCTTCAGCGGTGCCACTCTGGATTCTCCAAGGGGAATACTCCCTCTATGCTCCACGAGAGTTGTAGAGTTGCTTTTGCTGGGAATTGTCCACTGTTGGCATCAATTTACTTGGTCCCAAAAATAGTGTGTGGAGGATTTCCTTTGTCTAGTTTTATGAGTCCCCAGCTGAAATCCATAAGGTTCATTTAAAAGTTTCTAGAAAGATTAAGTCAATTAAAAAAGGCCCTCCTGACATTTCAGCACACTAGGCTTCTTCAGAGGGGTTAGGGTTACAGTTAGATATAATATGCCATTTAGCAGACACTTTTATCCAAAGCGACTTACAGTCATGCGTGCATACATTTTTATGTATGGGTGGTCCCGGGGATCGAACCCACTACCCTGGCGCCATGCTCTACCAATTGAGCTACAGAGGACCACATAGATGTATGTATGGATAGATGGTTACCTGCTGGGCATCTCTGTCTGCCTGTCGCACCTCCATCAATGTAGGCCAGCTACAGGTCATCAGCTGCCTGGGGAACACCACTTGTAAATGTTTCCCAGTAGGCCGACATTTCCTGGTGGCAGAGCAGTGACAGGAAGGTCGCATTTAGGAGACTCTTGATACACACACACACACACACAGACTTCACACACAGCAAGATTGGTGTAGTTCATTTTACATCCAACATGTTTTATTGTTCTCCAAGTTGAACAGTTTACCCTGTCTTGGCCTTTTCCACACGCCCAAAACAACATGGCATCATTATACATGGCATTTGTTAAGGTAGCAGTGGAGGCATACAAGGTCTAATTCTCATACAGAGAAACCAACCAATGTAGAGAGGGCATATACAGGATCTCTCCACAGTCAAACCAATGGAGAGAAAGCATACATGATCTCTCCAGTCAAACCAATGGAGAGAGAAACCTGTTTTCGCTTTGTCATTATAGGGTATTGTGTGTAGATTGCTGAGGATAATTTTTTTTAAAATCCATTTTAGAATAAGGCTGTAACGTAACAAAATGTGGAAAGTCAATGGGTCTGAATACTTTCCAAAGGCACTGTATATAGAAAAGTATGTGGCCACCCCTTCAAATTAGTGGATTTGGCTATTTCAGCCACCTTTCCAACAAGTCAGTTCGTCAAATTTCTGCCCTGCTAGGGCTGCCCTGGTCAACTGTAAGTGCTGTTATTGTGAAGCGGAAACGTCTAGGAGCAACAACGGCTCAGCTGCAAAGTGGTAGGCCACACAAGCTCACAGAATGGGACCGCCGATTGTTGAAGCGCACAGTGCGTAAAAATAGTCTGTCCTCGGTTGCAACGCTCTCTACCGAGTTCCAAACTGCCTCTGGATGCAACGTCAGCACAATAACTGTTTGTCGGGAGCTTCATGAAATGGGTTTCCATGGCCGAGCACCCGCACACAAGCCTAAGATCACCATGCGCAATGCCAAGCGTCGGCTGGAGTGGTGTAAAGCTTGCCGCCATTGGACTCTGGAGCAGTGGAAACGCGTTCTCTGGAGTGATTAATCACGCGGATGCCAGGAGAACGCTACCTGTCCCAATGCATAGTGCCAACTGTAGTTTGGTGGAGAAGGAATAATGGTCTGGGGCTGTTTTTCATGGTTTGGGCTAGGCCCCTTAGTTGAAGGGAAGTCTTAAAGCTACAGCATACAATGACATTCTAGACAATTCTGTCCTTCCAACTTTGTGGCAACAGTTTTGGGAAGGCCCTTTCCTGTTTCAACATGACACTGCCCCCGTGCACAAAGCAAGGTCCATACAGAAATGGTTTGTCGAGATCGGTGTGGAAAAACTTGACTGGCCTGCATGGAGCCCTGACCTCAACCCCATCGAACACCTTTGGGATGAATTGGAACGCCAACTGCGAGCCAGGCCTAATCGCCCAACATCAGTGCCCGACCTCACTAATGCTCTTGTTGCTGAAAGGAAGCAGTGGAGGCTGTTATAGCAGCAAAGGGGGGACCAACTACATATTAATGCCCATGATTTTGGAATGAGATGTTCAATGAGCAGGTGTCCACATACCTTTGGTCATGTAGTGTACCTTAAGATGAATACACTAAAACTAAGTCGCTTGGATAAGAGCGTCTGCTAAATTTCTTAAATGTAAGGGTCGAACTCGTCTAATGGTCAGGTCTTCGCGCTGGTTTCAACCTAGCCTGGTCCCAGATTGGTTAGCTCTGTTCTGTCAGATTTAGGGACCAGGCTTGTTCCAATTTACATCCTCTGACGTTTACTCAACTTTTATCATGAAACATTAGTAATTAATAAATGTATGGCGTCAGGAGTTTTCACTTCCTCATTGTGCTCTACCAATATAATGATAATCCATTCTAAGTGATTGATTTATTAGAACTTCCTCCCAATTCACTTCTGTGTTCCATCATGCTTTGCAGGTTGATGAGACTGGCGTGGAGGTGAAGGACATTGAGCTGGTGATGTCACAAGCCAACGTATCTCGAGCGAAGGCTATACGAGCACTCAAGAACAACAACAACGACATCGTCAATGCCATCATGGTAAGTATATTTAATTGGTTGTCACTTATGTTGTGAATGTACTATCAGTTGTAATTGATGTTTACCTTTGATTGTTATGTTCTAAGCTTATGACAGGCACAGTTCCATCTGAACAATAAAGTTCTAGATTCTATTCAATGTTGGCACCTCCTTAGATACAAACCACTTTTTGTTTTCTTCTTTGCAGGAGCTGACCATGTAGATGCCATGAGGACCAGGTCCAGTCCAGCATTAAACCCCAGTAGACGTTGTCTATTCAATTCATTCCAAGGATAGAAATAGAAGTTGTGGATTAAGGGGATGGAATATTTATTCTTCTTCTGTTTACCGTTTGTTTTCCCATTTGTTGGTAAATAAAATGTTTTCCTCACATTATTTCTGTTTGTAAGATTGTGCTTACACTAAAATCAGCGGTGGGTGTTGTGCCATATAGGCAAGGGAACACCAACAACAAAAAATGTAAATGACGTCATAATTTCCTCAATCAAAGTTTGTACCGACAGATGTAGGCTGTTGAATAATATCATTCTATATCGTTATAAATATGCATAAAATGCATCCTCTAATTGAATGCATCATTCCTTGAATGTAAAATGCATCCTCCGTCTGCCTCTATACCCACACATATTGTATCAAGAAAATGTTATATTTTTAATACCCTCAATCACTAAATTAGACATACCTGATTTCAAAATAGGCCATCATCACTGTCAATCTTGAATGATAATTATTTGTTTTACCAGTGAAACTTCCAAACTGCCTCTGCATGCCAATCATTTGATTGATCTCAATCAGTTTCAATGGAATTTAAGGAGTAGGTGTGTCCAAACTTTTGACTAGTACTGTGTGTATATATGGCTTAATATCATTGCACTCTGCGAGGAGAGCTTTAGTTGCGAGTAGGCATTTCATTGTAACTTACACTACACTGTATGATTTTAAACTTTGATTTGATTAGCTTGAACACCATAGTTACAATATACCCTATTACAGAATAAATGAACACCGAGATATGAACTATCAATTCATATAATTTATTTGCATAGGTTAAACATGCTCTCAAATCAATTGACCAAGTAGTGAACACAAAACATTGCAATGTACAATTACAGGAATTTAGTTTTAAAACGGCCATAAAATCAAGCTTGTGGTGGTGTATTCATGCATTTCAATAAACTATAACCTTAATGCATTATTACCTTCAACTTGGCCCAATTCACATTTCCAATTGCCCACCCTGACATACCAAGCTAGAATGTGCCCTGCATCTCAACCAATATCCAATATTGGCTAAATATCCCAAGCTGGGCGCAGGGCTACAGAAACTTCCAGAGAGAGTCAGGCTCCTTGGGCTTTGCAGTGGCCACTCTGGTTTGGGTTAATCGGCAGAACGGTGTTGCTGTAACCAACTGGTCACATATCGTTCTGGGTTCCACTGTGCAAGAGGGGGTCCGTGGAGTTTTAAGAACATCAAGGCAGACATACAGTGAATTTGGATCCTAGATCTCGTTGGTGTGATAAAGATCATGTGGCTAACCCTCCTCACACTCGCAACGAGCAGCAGGGAACAGTGCTTGACTTGGACTGAAATAGGTTACGGTACTCATTTTGGGTGCTGAACAAGTTACATAAGTTGCATGGACTCACTCTGTGTGCAATAATAGTGTTCACTGTGATTTTTGAATGACTACCTCATCGCTGTACCCCACACATACAATTATCTGTAAGGTCCCTCAGTCGAGAAGTGAATTTCAAACACAGATTCAACCACAAAGAAAGGCAACTATTGGTAAAAATGTAAAAAAGCAGATATTGAATATCCCTTTGAGCATGGTGAATTTATTAATTACACTTTGGATGGTGTATCAATACACCCAGTCACTACAAATATACAGGCGTCCTTCCTAACTGTTGCTGGAGAGGAAGGAAACCGCTCAGGGATTTCACCATGAGGCCAATGGTGACTTTAAAACAGTTAGAGTTTAATGGCTGTGATAGGAGAAAACTGAGGATGGATCAACAACATTATAGTTACTCCACAATATTAATTGAATTGACAGAGTGAAAAGAAGGAAGCCTGTACAGAATAAAAATATTCCAAAACATGCATCCTGTTTGCAAATAGGCATTACTGCAAAAAATGTGGCAAAGCATTTAACTTTTTGTCCTGAATACAAATTATGTATGGGGCAAATCCAATATAACACATTAATGAGTACCTACCACTTCATATTTTCAAGCATAGTGGTGGCTGCATCATCTTATGGGTATGCTTGTAAATGGAGCTAAACACAGGCAGAATCCTAGAGGAAAACCTGGTTCAGTCTGCACTCCACCAGACACTGGGAGATGAATTCACCTTTCAGCAGGACAATAACCTAAAACACAAGGCCAAATCTACACTGGAGTTGCTTACCAAATGGGCAGTTAATTTTCCTGAGTGGCCGAGTTGCAGTTTTGACTTAAATTATCAACAACCAATTTGACAGAGCTTGAATAACTTATAAAAGAATAATGGGCAAATGTTCCAGGTGTGGAAAGCTCTTAGAGACTCGCCTAGAAAGAGACTCAACTGTGCTTCTACAAAGTATTGACTCAGGGGTGTAAATACTTATGTAAATGAGATATTTCTGTATTTCATTTTCAATACATTTGTCATTATGGGGTATTGTGTGTAGATCGGTATGAGAAAAAAAACTTTTCATCCATTTTGAATTCAGGCTATAACACAACAAAGTGTGAAATAAGTCAACGGTATGAATACTTTCTGAAGCCACTGTACCTATAGGCTCCTATACATACTGTGGGGATTTATTATTCTCATAATTGATGGGATGACTAACTTAGAAAGAATGCATTAATGATTAAGGCATGGAGGGTCTGGACTGTGCTGATGTGGGTTGTTTCACCTGGCAAGCTGTGATTCATGTGAGGAGCTGTTTTAGGGGGTAAGATGAGATAAGAATTTGTGTCTCCAAATACTAGACTATACTGCTTCTTTGTGATCTGTGAACCTTCCTTGGACGTAGGAATGGTGTCTAGGGGAGCTGGCTCTTCTCACCATGACAGGTTGTTATGATAAGAACTTATGCCTGGCAACGGTGGAGCGCCAAGAGGCTGGGACTAGCCTGTGCGCCAACGGATTGGCTGAGTAAGTCTAAACCACGCTCAGTCTCTACCCTGATAGGCCCAGCAGAGAGCGGGAACTAAAAACTGTCAGAGTATTTTAAGGAGAACCTGTAACAATGGATTAGTTCTCTGTCTGCCCTGCGTGGTATTTCAGGGAGCCCGTATATACGAACATCATATTTACCATTGAAGGTTTTGCATTAATTAAAAATACTAGTCTATTTTAGAAGGCGTGTATTGACCTCTTTTGTTTCCTAATACCAGATTTGAATTGACGCAACTTAACAATACTTATTTGGTTTGTCATTATATCGTTTTTCATGGGATTTTAGTGGTAACTACATTTATTTATAATTATTTATCAGAATGAATTTTCCAGAAATAGTTTTACCAGCTCCATGTATTCTCAAATTGAAAAGTGAGGTAGCTCCGCTCCAGCAGCACTACAACCCTGCTAAAAACACCTGTTCATACAGACCTGTGCTATACAGGGGAAATAGTTGACATTATAGAGGGGAAATAGTTGACATTATGTGATACAGATCAACTTTGTCTGTGTGTGTGCGTGCGTTGTCACGGTAACAGCGTAGCTTGCTTCAGGTAAAGCGCGTGCAAGAGACTCGTCCCGGCACGAGCGAAAGATCCAGAAACTTCTCCAGACTGCGCGAGCGAGGCTATAGTACAAACAACGACTTAGATACTAGATGCGTCATTGCGCACGAGAAGGAGGAAAAGCACGCGAGGCAGTGACAGAGTCTGGTCTAGGATTGATATTTACATTTTACCCTGTCGTATTTCACTACAGAAGAGAATATCCAACAACACATCGTGGCTAATACTTCGGTCTGGAGTGGGAAGAACTAGATAGCAAGAGATGTACGTGTGGGACGGAGGGTAGGAGGGAGCTAACGTTAGCGTGAAATGCATGGGATGCATATTCTTGCAAATGGGGTAGCTTGCTAGCTAGTTTCAAGTTTAATCAGCGCTTAGCTAGGGCTAGTATGCCCATGCCTTTATACGTGTATAGCTACTCTGCAATGACAAAGGTTCCATATTGTGAATGCAACGTTGACGTTATAGCTGGCTAGCTAGCAAATGCCATATTTAGCTAACTAGCTAGCTAGGCCTCCATGCTCCTTCATGCATGAGAACGATTTGTGCTAGTGGGAATGAATGGAGCCCTTGTCAGTTTACGGTAGTCGAAATGTCGGCTTTACATTCGAACAATGGTATTCTCCCATATCATGAGACATTAATAATAATACAAGGCTGACCCTTGTCTTCATAGGTAGCTAGTTGCCCAACGAATTTACAGATAGCCGGTCCTTTATTCACGTGGACTAGCTAGAGAGCCATATAAAGACTGGTATAGGCAAACCATTTCCTTGCAACGAGGCTAGTTTAGCTACTGGCTTACTAGTTGGAGTGTCATGACATTCCATGTGGCCTGCTAGCTAGCTCATTAATTAATATATGGAAGGTTGTCAGAGCTGGTTAGCCAATAATACCCATTAGGCATGGCCATCAAACCACTGAATTCAGGGAAGCCTTTTCCCTTGAGACCAGTGACAGTGAGCCACCTGACCAAGTATGAGTATGACCTTGGATTAAATACGGTTGAATGGGTGGCGCTAGACTCAAGCGGATAAATTAGTGTTCCTGATTTATACTATGTGGATGAACCAAACAATGTATTATCTTAGCTAGCTAATCAATGCTAAAAGCAAACGTGCATGCTTTTCTGTTTCACAATGTGTGTAACAGACGAGTAGAATGGCACATTATTCAGTTTTGCTTCTAAAATGAATGGATGGAACCAGAGTCATATATGGATGGAACCAGCCCCCTACCCTTCCCACATTTTTCCCTTCATAGATTTATCCCCTATTCCCTAATGATGGTAGTCTGGGCACCAGTCTGTTAAACTATCATTCCACTCCTTGCCACCCCTTGTCATGCTAAACATTTGGCATAATGACACAGAGTACAAGGAGTGGAATGTTATCTAAACAGACTGGTACCCAGGCTATAATGTTGGGGGTGCAGTTTCCCAAATATGTATGGTTGGATTTCATAACCAGAAACTAGAAGACATTGATCACTGCTTTGTATCGGACTAATCAGTCTTCTCTCTTCTCTGTTGTCCAATAGGCAGCCAGCAACAGCAAAGTGGTATGACAGAAGGGACTCTGTCTTCATTGAGTTCCTGGTAGAAGACAGCAAAGATCTACAAGTGAAGTTTGAAAAATCTAAACTTGATTTCCGGTAAGCTGCTTCACCATCACCCGGCACATTGCAGTTTAATTGACACTGATCTTAGGCTAAATTGTAAGCTGTCTATAAATTAGACCTACTGCATAGACACTTGGGGGGCGGTTTCCCGGACACAGATGAAACCTAATCCTGGACTAAAAAGCTTCTTTGTCTTCCTTTTAGCCCATGAATAAGATTAATCTTATCGGCCCTTACTGTCTGAATGAGCAAAACCTTCATATATTTTACTCTGTTTTGTCATTTCAGTTGTGTTGGCGGGATTGAAAACCTCAAACATCAAAATGAATTGGACCTTTTTGACTCAATTGACCCCAATGTAAGTATGTTTCTCATTTAGCTGCAGATTCACCACCTGCAATGACCCAGAAAACCGCTGCAATGACCTGGATGTTAAATATGCTGGATGTTAAATATGATCCCTCATCCAAAATGACTTGTAATATACCAATTATCTCTCTTCCTGTCGTTGCAGGCATCTAAGCACAAACGTACAGACAGATCGGTGTTGTGTTGTCTAAAGAAGTCCAAGGCAGGAAGAGCATGGTCACGGTTAACAAAGGACAAGGCAAAAGTAGGAACTGTTTCAATGTGCAATACTATTTATTCTACCTTACTTTTTCTGCCCTGTATTTCTGGGCCTATATTTAAAAAGCGTCTTAGAGTAGGAATACTTGTCTAGGATTACGGTCCGTCCCCCCCCCCCCCCCCCCCCCCATATATCTTATTCCTAAAAGGCCAAACTCAAACTGATCAGCACTCCTACTCTGAGATGGTTTGAATAGGCTCAGGTCACATAAGAGGGGCATTTTGTCTTGAATGTTGGTTTAAAATCATTTTGATTTGGGATTTCTCTTTTCTTTCCCACAGTTTCAATGGCTCGGTGTCGACTTCAACAACTGGAAAGACTGGGAAGATGATTCTGATGAGGATCTGTCCAGTTTTGACAAGTTCTCAGAGGCAAGCATGTCATGTTGCACAAAGTGTGTAATGTTTTAAATGTGTTAAATTATATATATTTTTATGTCCAAACAATGATTGTTGTTGCCTGTTTTCAGATGATGAACACGATGGGAGGAGAAGATGGCATGCCAGATCTCGGTATGGGCGGTATGGAAGGTCTAGAAGAGGTCTGTTTCTTTTCTGTCATCTCCAAATGAATTATACAGCAAATAAAGGCAATTGCAAACATTTACCAGAGCACTATATACGGTGGCTGCAAGAAAAACTACTTGCTTTCTTGCTCTGTTGAGTTTTGCAGTTTTGACACTAATCTTCTCATATTTTTGATTTACAGCACGACAGCGATGATGAAAGTAAGTTTTTAGATATCATTTTAGCACATGGATAAAAGCAAGCAGACAATTTTCTAGAGCATTTTCATGGTACATTTCATTTGAAGGTTGTTGAAAAGCCTCATACCATCCACACATGAGCCATGTTGTAGAATTGGTGATTTAGCTTTTTACCTTGAATCATTTATTTTTATGTTTTCATATTTGTAACTTTTTCAGAGATGCCAGACCTGGAGTAATGGAGCATATGAAGTCTTTGAACCGTAGAGAACAAGAAAGGAAAGCCTCAAAGGTCGGTTGAAGAGAGAGATGGTAGAGTTGGTAGCAATATTTGAAAGGAGGAAACATCACCAGTTTTCCAAACACGTCACAGGAACCTTACTGAGGAGAGACCGTGTCTGTCGTAATGGCATCACAGCAGAGCATTCAACAGCCAATGTCTTAGTGCTGTGCTTTGCTGTTCTAGTTCTGCATGGACAATTAAGTTGTTTCCATGATGTGTTGTGGGGTTCAGTTATATCGTGCTTTAACTTAACAACCAGGGGTGCCTTCAGCAGGGAACAGCATTATGGAACGTTCAGATAGAAATACGTCATGTAGAATTAAGGAATCGTGTCGGCTCTTCATATTTCTATCTGCAACGTTTGACAATGTTTCCCTGCTGAATGTGGCCCTGCTCTAATGGGATATGAAAGTCTTAAAGTTACACCCCACCTCCACCTTTTTATTTAATAACGTCAGTGAGGTTACGTATTGAATATCAACATAATTGTAAATTCTAAACAAAGAAAAAACATGTTTTAAAACAACCGGCTATTTTCAATAAAGTTTTATTTTATTTTTATGGAACATGTCCCGTTTTATTAGTTCGTACTGTACATTTTGTTTCAGTTTTATTTTTGTTAATTTATCGAAACAAGTTTTAGCTCGAAGCAAATATTTTTGCAATGTACGTTAACATCTGAAAATATTACCGGTAATAGTTAATTCATTGATTTTAAATAATAAGGTATTTGGAATTAATGAATTAATATGCATGTTAAACTTATTTTACAGTATAGCGTAAGTTTTATAATGGTAAAAACCTTTCTGTGCAATCACATTTTGCAAGGATGCTTTTGCTTTAGTGTGTATATATAGGAACATACAAAACACTTAAACTATATACCGGTAGTTTACTCCGTATTTACTGGCAGTGGTCATTGCACATTGTTTTGTATAAAACAAAAGTGTAGCAGCAAATTATATCTTCCATATTCAAAGGGGTGCAGAAACATAACAAAGAGAGAACATGTCATTAAATGTCCAAATTTCATTTGCACTCACTGTAGAAAATATAAATGCAAGTGTTAGTTAAAGCAGATACACTACTAGGTTTCGCCAACCTGTTTCGCAGATCAGGTTGAAGAAATTTCAGTTGGTTAAATGCAGTGGGAGTTTGTCTACATATTTCTAATAAACTTGTCTCGGACTAAGTTGATGTTTTATTTTTTTGTCCGGTTTAATACAGTATCTTGGCACGTAGTGAGAATAACATGTGTTTGACCTAAACAGATCAAAGGGCATGAACAAAGGTCATCTGTTATTTCAGCTGTTGAGAATATGGAGTCAGTTTAATTCTAGTACGTGCTATGACCACCAGGTGGTGCTGATAGTCTATACACCATGGCTACAAACCCAGATATAACCAATGATACGTCATTGGATATTACACAGGAGTAGGGTACTGAGAGAATCTATACAGAATAGGAACCAACATAGCAATGTTATGTGCTGCCAGAGAATTTACCTTTTGGACAATCCCACTTGGAAGTTTTCATTTTCCTCTAAAAAATATGATTTAATGTTGGTTCAGTATAGGAGCATGCTACATGTCACAACTGTGCACACCATTCTGAGACTAAAATGAGACTTTAGTAAACACTAACACACTCGATTCTGCTAATTGAGGCTTTTGTGTTGTGTTACTAACAGCTGGCAATATTCTCCTTATCAAAGAGTTATGCACAAACCATTAATTCCAAATATTTTTTAAATGTTTATTTACATAAATGTAATAATCCCTGTCCATGGAGTTAAATATCACATTTGTATTTGGGTTAGATTTTATAATTGGATAAGAAATAATTTATATTATATAGGTGCAAGGAATGGGAGCCAAGTGAGTTTATGTTATTAAACTAAGTAGCCTAAATGAATTCAGGCCCGTTAATATTGTATAACTGAAAATCTATAAATCAGTCAAATGTGATGGACAACCAGTAGCATAGATATCATGCAGTAGGCAAGCAGTCTGACCACGCTAGTAGAATTGAAAAGAGAACCCCAGAGAGACCCGTCGTTATTGTGGCTGTGCCCATCGTTTTCCAACAGAAATACTGGTGTGAGCATCTTAATGAAAGATATTTGGTATTGGTGTAATAAAAATAATAAATTGCGTTAACCCCAAGTTTTGTGAAGGAAAAAATATATAAAACCCAAGTGAAAATATGTCGTGACTAAATGGTACACCTGTCACCCCATTCGTAATAATGAACCTCAAACTGTCCGTGTTTTTTCCTACAGTTCAATCTAGAAGAAAACAGACAAAGAACATTTTTGAATTTTAGGAAGTTTTTAACATAAAAATAATACATCCAGGATTCTCTGATTATTAAAGTATATAATATGTTCTTGATAGGATCCAAGCATATTGTTGGACTGTGTTACATATTTTCCCATACCTTTCATAACCAAATGGTCAGAGGAGACATTGTATAGCTTTGAAATTATATTATCTATCCATCCAGTTTCAACAATCATGGTAAAAAAAATAAAAAAATGAAATTGTACACTGTATAAAGCTTTTCAATGGAATACAAACATCATTATTTTAATTTCAAATGGTTCATAAGTCATTAACTGAAATAAGGAAGGAAATGTATTTATCTATCGCTGGGGGAATCAAGCGGAATAAATAAATGTAAAAGGAGAATCAGCTGTTTGGTTCAGTTTACTTCTTTACCAAGTAGTGAAAACGGAGGGGGGTTTAAAAGCACTATGAGCTGGTTCAACACTGCAGTACCCCTCCCACCGCCAGAGTCCTTGCAGCATCAACTGTCCTGTCATCATTAGATCAGAACACAAAATGTCCGCCTTGTAAACAGAGGGAGGAGGTAGGGGGTGAAAGCAGGAATGGAGGGAAGAGGGGGATGACCTCTCCTTCATGTTTCATTTCCCTCTGATGCAGATGTTGTGAAGAGGTCATACAGGTGCATGTTTAGTTTACCCCAAGTCCTCACCCAGTAACACAAAGCTAAAGCATTCAGTCGCCTCAGTTAACATGATCCTCTTCTCACTTTTTCTCCTCTCATTTTACCCCCCAGGTATAATAACCATAGCCTGGTTTCAGATCTGTTTATGTTGTCTTGCTAACTTAATGGCAACATAGCAAAAACATATCTGGGACCAGGCTATAAGAATCTGAGTTTGGAGGGCAAAACACACTATATATCAGAGGTGGATGCACTGGTACACTGAAAATAACCCCCCGACCCTAAACTGACCCCTCTCCCCCTATAGAGAAAAGAGAACCTCTCCCCCTAGAGAGAGAAGAGAACCTCTCCCCCTAGAGAGAGAAGAGAACCTCTCCCCCTAGAGAGAGAAGAGAACCTCTCCCCCTAGAGAGAGAAGAGAACTTCAACCATGTGACATGAACTGTTTAACCCCCTCAGTTGGTAACATGCAGAGCAGCACACTGCATCCAGAGGGATGCCTCACTATCAACCGGTCTTTCTCGATACTCTTCTGATTGTCTCCTTTTGTCCCACACGCTAAGCTATTCTCATTCTCACACATCGACTCTATTAAACCCTTCAATGGAAACTCCTAGTGAACAATCATTACAATACATGTATTGCCTTATTGTCCATAGGTAGCTCTCTCCCTAGTATTCTCGATGGGTGCAATGCAAATTGGTTCTGCGCAGCCCCATAATTGATTAGGCAGACTTTTACATTGTATGTGGTGGCTGAGCGGAGAGGTTCGGGCTCAGGGCAGATAGAGCAACAGATATACCCATGTTTGGAGAGGAGGAGGAGGCGAGGGGTTTGGCATTGAGCTTCTGCACTGGAGCATCCAGCATCGCGCTGATCAGGCTAGCCCGCCAGAGAGGATCAGGCTAGCCCGCCAGAGAGGACCAGGCTAGCCCGCCAGAGAGGACCAGGCTAGCCCGCCAGAGAGGATCAGGCTAGCCCGCCAGAGAGGATCAGGCTAGCCCGCCAGAGGACCAGGCTAGCCCGCCAGAGAGGACCAGGCTAGCCCGCCAGAGAGGATCAGGCTAGCCCGCCAGAGAGGACCAGGCTAGAGAGGACCAGGCTAGCCCGCCAGAGAGGATCAGGCTAGCCCGCCAGAGAGGACCAGGCTAGAGAGGACCAGGCTAGCCCGCCAGAGAGGATCAGGCTAGCCCGCCAGAGAGGACCAGGCTAGCCCGCCAGAGAGGATCAGGCTAGCCCGCCAGAGAGGACCAGGCTAGCCCGCCAGAGAGGACCAGGCTAGCCCGCCAGAGAGGACGGATGGACAGAGCGGGGAAAGGATAGTGCTGTGCTCAGCGGCTTGTTCCTCTCTTCCTTTCATACGCTAGAAACAAAAGGCTGGCAGTAACAGATTCTGTCGCTTTCTATGATCTGTTTGTCTTGCTATCGAATGTATAAGAGCTGCCCTAATCCATTGTGGAGCAGTAACTACTCATATAGCTGCCCTAATCCGTGGTGGAGCAGTAACTACTCATATAGCTGCCCTAATCCATGGTGGAGCAGTAACTACTCATATAGCTGCCCTAATCTGTGGTGGAGCAGTAACTACTCATATAGCTGCCCTAATCCATGGTGGAGCAGTAACTACTCATATAGCTGCCCTAATCCATGGTGGAGCAGTAACTACTCATATAGCTGCCCTAATCCATGGTGGAGCAGTAACTACTCATATAGCTGCCCTAATCCATGGTGGAGCAGTAACTACTCATATAGCTGCCCTAATCCATGGTGGAGCAGTAACTACTCATATAGCTGCCCTAATCTGTGGTTGAGCAGTAACTACTCATATAGCTGCCCTAATCCATGGTGGAGCAGTAACTACTCATATAGCTGCCCTAATCCATGGTGGAGCAGTAACTACTCATATAGCTGTCCTAATCCATGGTGGAGCAGTAACTACTCATATAGCTGCCCTAATCCGTGGTGGAGCAGTAACTACTCAT